AGCACTAATATGTTTGTGCTGGGATTGCGGCAGAAACTGACGAGAGCGTGACCGGATGTTCGCGCCGCCTTTTCCGATGAGGAACGACCTGCAGGAACGGCTAAGCGGCTGTGGATTTGCGTCTCTCTCACTCGTGCCCAAGATTCTTGCACTGCATCTGCCGGAACCAAACATCGGTATGGCACCTACGTCGATGCGAGCAGTAGGTCTTCGGTCCAAGGAAGAGTCACAGAGTCCCTTGCTCGAAGCTCTGCGAGCAGTTTACAAACTGAGGATGCGCTGGCCAACCTGTGGTGCGCGGTCCATGGCATGTGCTGCCAAGAACGGCGGCGCAAATAGTTGTCACAGATGAAAGATAGTTATACGAGAGCTGTTTGCGTGAAGAAATAGAACTTCAGCATCAACTCTGCCTTCATTCCTCGAAGCCTCGCAGCTGCAAAAGAAAGCATGCCAACAACCTGCCAAAGCAGTGCAGTCCACCAAACGATGGGTGCGACTGAACAGGCGCAAGTGCTGCCTAAGTCACTTTGCACAACGAGCAGCCTCTGGTTCAGGCATGGGGAGTGGGACAAAAAGTATGACACCTGGATTGGGAACGGCTGGTTCGGGTAGAGTGTCTGGAGTTGTGCGGATCCTCCGATGCACCCCTCCGATTCTGAGGTTTGTGGAGACCGAGGTGTGAAATGCTGATGGTCTGAGGTTGGGGCCGGGGCTCGGATCGCACATCAGACAGCAAAACATTCCTCAACTATCTGCTCTACCTGCTCCGCTGTCTCACTTCAATAAGGTAATTATCACAGCAGCCTTGGCTCTCTTTGCTTCGGCACTGCCGAAACGGGCCTCCTGACCTAGTCACGTTGGAAAGCCATCCGTTCTGCATAGTGTTCACCTCCTACCTCCAACTGCCCAAATCATCCATGCAGGGGCTTGTAAGTTATGAGCAGTCATGGATTTCGGGTTCTGAAGAACTTCAAGGAGTTTTCGGGCAGACTTGACAGCAATGAGCCTTTTAGACTTTGCTCGGCCACGGCTTAGCTCTGCTTCAGAAAAGCACCAAGTTTCGAAATCTCGGAATCATCAAGCTCCGTCCCGAGGTCAGCACAAGCTGCAGGTATCTCGGGAGTGGTATCCACTTGAAAGGGTAGACTTGGTGCACTAGGTCTTTCGAGCTGCAAGAAATCGGTAGCAACGATGTAGCGCACGCACTGCAGGATGGCCGAGTAGTATCGTTCCACATCTGGCTGCAGCAGTCTCCGAAGCAGACCGTCTCGTCGCTCTCGCTCTTCTGGGGCGCGATACGGCTCGACGTGGGTGGCTCGCACCTGGCGCGTGCGAAGGGGCCCGAAGACGCCTCCAGCGGGACCCTCACCGGGTCGACCAGCTCTGTTTGCCAGTGTCGAAGGCAACATCCACCAAGCAGTGGGCGTGATGTCAGAGGCCTGAGCCTGCGGCGGGCTGCCTATGTGCTCATACTGGCAGGCTGCTCCATGATAGCAAAAGCCTCGCTCAAAGAAGCGGCAAACTCCCAGCTTCCCTCTTCCACTGTCGAAAGCTTGGTAGCGTGCTTGGCTACTCGAGTTGCCAAAGGAGGACTCCAATGGGACGCAGTTTGCTACAACCGATGGCAGAGGAAGTGAATGTGTTGGATGAGCATTGTCTTCGAGCTCTTCGTTCATGCCCATGCTCCAAGGCATTCGTTTGCCCTTTCCTTTCTCCTTTCCTTTGCCCTTACCTTTCTTCCCCTTTGACTTTCCATCCCCTTTAAAATTATAACCATAACCATAACTGTAATCCTTCCCTTTGCCATCTTTGCCATCTTTGCCTTTGCTTTTGAACTTGCCCTTTTTCCCTTTGCCCTTGCCTTTGCCCTTCTCCATGCCGTGTGTGCTTCGGAGGAGCTTCTCCAGCATACTCACCTTCGGAGGATCAGGAAGTGCACCAGACAAGCGCCTTTTCTCCTCCAGCTCCATCTTTCTCTGTAGGTTGCCCTTGCTGGGGAAGTTCGCCTTCCGCATAGCTCTCCAAGCGGTCAGCTCTTCCGGCGAGTCTGTCACACTCGAGCCGTCTGCTGCCTTGACATGCTTGAGCTTGTGCACGGCCATGACATGCTCTGGACCAGAAAAGTTACAACCTTCCTCCGGACAGGGGATATGTTCATCTGCGACATGGCTGTCATACTTCTCCTGATTCCAGAAGTCTTTGTTGCAAACATGACAAAACCACCGGCTCGGATTGAATGCTTTCTTGCGATGCATACTTTTTGAAAATCCTTTGCCGCTGCATCCTTGCGGGACTTGTGGAGGTGGAGGCAGAGCGTACTGAACACCAGGGGGCTGGGGTGCATCCATCCATTGGTCACCAACCTCATCCTCGGACTCCTGCGAGCTGCGTGAGCATGTCTCGTACCGATCATAGTGTCGACGGTCTGGAACGTCCCAATAATCGTAACGTGCATCGTAACCATCCCCGTATTCCGAATGCCAGCTGTCCCAAGCATCCGGTTTAGGTGCACGTCGGGGTGATGGTGCCCTCTGCGGCTTGGATTCCGGCACTGGCGGAGGCTCCGGCAAGTGTCTGGTGCCGCCTGAGGACTCTTCGTACCAGCGTCTCCCGCCAGGGACAGGTGGTGGGGCGGGAGGATCGTATGGGACGCGACTCTCACGCTCCCTACTGTCGCCGCGAGAGTTTCGAGGAAGCGGCTGCTCTGCCCATGCTCGGGATGTGCCTTTTGCAGGCAGCTCCTTTCTAAAACTCACAGGGGCTGGCGGGGCTGGTGGGGCTGGAGGGGGTGGAGGTGGCGCCGGTGCCTGTGCCGGTCCACGAGATGGGCCTCTGGGAGTTGGAACTGGTGGAGCTGGTGGAGGATCCGGCAGTCTCTTGGAGGTCGGGAGGTTCTGCTTTTGGATTCGGCTTGTGGGTTTTGCACTTCGAGGCTGCGGCTCTGGTGCTTTCTGGTGGCTGCGACTTCTGGATGTGTCGTCGTGCCGAGGTCTCTCGGTACTGTCGAATCCAGCCTCGGCCAAAAACTCCCTAACTTTGTCTAAGGTCGGTGAAGCTCCCGGCGCTGCTCGGGAAACCCTGGGTCTCTGAGCTGGAGCGGGAGCTCCGGGAGCTGGAGGCGGAGGTGGCAGGTCACCGCGATACACCGGCCGCCGCCTTTGTGGTGAGCGGCTCCGCATCGGTTCAAGCGATCCAGGCAAACTGCTCCACTTCAAGAGCCCATGGCTTCACCACTCTGGCTTGATACATGGACATCTTCCCTGCGACAGTCGCCGAGGGGTAAATTAACCGACGTATTGTGACATGTTGTGACCCTTCTGCTGGGGCATCTTTGTGCCGAGGCTGCACGTTCAGCTTAGCTTGACTATGTCCGGTGTCCTACTGTCTTGAACCGACTTGCGAGTGGGACACAGGGTATGCCGGACATCGAGGTAAGAGGACTCAGCAGATCCTGCTAGAAGAGACGCAAAGAAGCAGCGACGGAGTTGTGTTTCACTCTGGGGGTTGTCTGTTGTGCCTCGTGAGGCCGGAGCTGAGAAGCGGCTGCTTTCGGTGTCGTTCAGCTTGCTCGAGGTGCACACGAAGGTTCCAAGCTGAAGTGTCAATGTTCGCGCATCTTTCCGGTCGTGCACTGGCGAAAACGAGCCAACAGCACGAGTCTTGTGTCTGTTTGTCTTTCTCCGCCCCCCCCTCAGAGTCTCTCATGATGTCACTTGCCGAGTCCCTCCCTTGTTCAGTCTCTCCTTCGACTCAAGGTGCTAAGGGAGTCTTCTTCTTTGTTCGCATGGGGGAGCGACTGGGCAGGAGCAAGGCAGATCCAGAAGCCTTTAAACAACTGTTTACAAACGTCCAAATCTTCTCCCATGGATGCCTTCATATGCCTTCATCACAGATGGGACCTTGACCCTTACGACTGACGATGCACGAGTCTCTTTCGTAGCCACAGCGGACGTTGCCAATGAACTCCAACTAATGAAGCACCCGGCTATTGCGTCGCTTTACCACGACAACTACCACTGATTGAAAGGGCAGGGTAATGCATTCTGCAAAGACCTGCCTCCGAGGCGTCCCATTTCAGGCCGTGAACCGCTTGGCCGAATCGACTTTGGACCAGCAACGGTGAGCACATCGGCCAGAACGCCTTCGAACTAGCTGTTGCCCAAATTTCAGCAACATTGCTCCGTGAAAACTGCGCTGCGCACGGATGCTGACTGCGGGCGGGTGGCCGCAATTGCGAAAATTCCTGTGGAACGCTCACTCAGGCCCACAGGTTCAAAATGTCTGAGGTTCAATTCAGTGCTAGACAAACTAATTTGGCATTTCAGTCGTGGGTGCCAATGACCAAGGAGCAGTTCATGCGATGATCAACACGTGCCAGGCATGTCCAGCACGTTCTGAAATGCCTTTTTGGTTTCCTGCCAGCTTGCACAACGGCAAGGGCAGTTCTTGCACGCATGCACGAAAAGCCAGCTGCACTTGTAGCAGTGTGGTGAAACACTGGTGGATTTGATACAAGTTCTGCATCCTCGAGCAGTGTCACCAGCTCGGTCATCAAATACGACGAAGTTTGCAAGCATCTTCAACACCATTGGGGTCTTCGTTCTCAACGGTCCGGCTGGTGAATGAACACCTCGAGGACGTTGCCGTGCTCGTGCTTTACTGCAGGAACTGGGAACCGCTTCTCTCAGAGTCTCTGACCATGAGAGCCTGCAGCAACCTGGCACTGCTGAAGTTCACACATGTCGTGCTCTGTTGCCTTCGCCTCAAACATCACCTAACTAACTAAAGCCACAGCGTGTGAGTGCGAAGGGCCAATCCACTGCGTAAGTTGGAAGCAGGCACAAGGAGACCTCTCTGATGATGTCTCTTCCGTTCTCTCTCACAGTGCAGCGGCCGACTATCGCTGCATGTTCACCCCCCCCCCCCATGGCATCGTATGCTGCCGAACTTGTTGAACACCGAGAGCTCGTCTGCATGCGTGAAGCCGTTTACAGGTATCTTCAAGACTGCTCTGGACTTCGTGCCGCAGTCCATTCATGCAAGTAGTGCATAATCGGCATGCTCATCGGACTCGTAACTGGACGCTGAGGCAGCAGCTCGAAGTAGGAAAAGCTTCCATCTTCTTCACCAAGCGATTCCTGGATTCCGAATTCGGGGACACCCGACTTGCTTGAAGTCTTTAGCACCCGGGATGCAACTTTGACACCCCACAGCGACTGTACGAAGAGATGTGTAGACATGTAACTTCCACGTCATCACATCACGTCATGCCCTGGGCTGGGGTAAGCACTTGGCAGAGGGCAGCCAAGTCACAGCCAGTCCATCGATTTGAACATCGCTGAAGGTTCTACGCTGCTTCGCCAATGAGATGTCAATGCCTCGAAGTACCTGCAGATCTGCAGATTTGCTGGAGAAGTCTCCGCATCTGACTCTCCTGTTTCACCCGGCCAGTCTGTCTGTCTGTCAGTCTGAGTCTCTTCGCTTCGCTTCGCAAGGGACAGGCTCCAGGAGCCCGCGCCGAGGCGCCCCCTTTCCCCATTGGCCTTGGGGCTGAAGTGCATGGCGTTTTCCCCCAACGGTCGGTTCAGCTGGTAGAGTCTGCCTGTCGGTAAAACCACCCCCAGTCTGAGTCTCTCTCTCTCTCTCTCTCTGAATTCATTCTCAGGGCTGGAGTGCCTGCAGGCTCCCACATCAGCGCGAGAGTCTGCAGTCTGTCATGGAAAGTCCTATGCGGGATCCTTCTCTGAGAGCTACAGCCTCGTCTTCTGGGGGGAGGATTGTGTGCACTCAGATCTATTCATGCTTCCTTACTGCCGTCTTTCCCGAGCACATTTTTGCAGCACTATCGCAAAGTTGAAGTCAGCTGGAGACCCTCGGCATGCGTGTTCGCACTGGGTGGGCGTTTCTGAATACTTCCCTTAGGCCTGGCAGAAAGACGAAGCCCTTCAAGGTAGGGATCCCTACCCTGGCGTGCGCACGTGCCCGGTCTCTAGGGTCTGACATGCTGGATGTGCAGATGAGGTGCAGCTAAGACAGAAAACAGAAACACGTGCACAAGGCGTCGCAGATCTCTGTTGGTCTACACTGTCTGGGGGTGAGAACTAGTGTGAGACAGTGGGGTTCCATAGCCCTTAAGACTTAAGCAAACTGGACTCTGCGTGCGCCCCACCACCACCTGCGTGTGACAGGCCCTGCCTCTGCAAATGCTCCAGAGCTTATTCGGCCCGTGAGCGCCGCATCCGCCTGAAAGTTCAGCAAAACGTGTCCACGCCCGTCTGGCGCAATCACAGTCGGGTGAATTAGTTCTGAGCGGAAACATCCCATGGCATATAGGATCAGGAGTGGCCGCGGCCGAGGTTGCCAGTTCGGGTGGGACGGGAATCGTGTGCGATTTTGTTCAAGCCGCTTGTTGACTCACCTGGTGGCAATGCCAGCCAGGTCGCCTAGGGGACATGGTCTCTAAGGAGAGAAGCAGGATTGAGGCCTGTAAGTGGTGGAAGTAAACCATGTTCGTAAGAGTTTTGTTGCGGCACTCGTGACGGACGTGAGCAAAGTGGGACAGCCACGGGCTGGCAAGCCTCGCTGTGAAAATCCTTTGCTGAAAGTCTTTCATGCATCGTAAATTACCTCGGTCTTGAGAAACGGAGGTCACGACATCTTTTCGGCTTTCAGGACTTTTACAGTTGTGGCAATTACGAAGGACAAGCCAACAATCTTTTAAACTAAAACTCATCGTTCTGGGCCATGCGACCAAAGGTGTGCATCAAGATTTGAAGCGTCGTGTGAACAAGCTTCCTCGGCGTAGCATGCCTATGCCAACGAATACAGCACACACAAATGTCAACCTGCAGCACTGCCTGCACTGGCTTCTCTGTCGGGCTTGTTCTGTCCGCCGCAAGGAAAACTCAAGAACCGCATCGTTTCCAGCAATCCGGCTCCCACTGGGGCACTGCTAAGCAAAAACTCATTTCTTCACTGGCATACCAAGCATTTGTAACGTGTCAGGTGTATGTCAAACCCCTCGGCCTCGTGGCATCCGCAGCATACAGCGTGTCTGTGGCGGTACCTTTCGCAAAGACATTTTTGGTCAGGGTAGCTTCATGTAGCTTCCAACAAGAGCAGTCGAAGCTGGTCAAGCATGGCATGCAAGATGTGGCACAAAAAGCTCAGGATGTGCTCGCACATGAATTCCTCAGCCGCGTCGAAGTCCTGCTTGAAGACAGATGCTCCGAGGCCAATCTCAGACAACTAGCCGTGCACGTAAAATTCTCGTAGCTACGACGTGGCATGCTACACCACAGCTCTCATCTAACAGTGTTGGCGGCCCGTTCTTGGATGCAGTGTTGTAGGAATGCCGCAGTGGATGCAGTCAGGACGACAAGCTGCTGTTGTGGCCGCGGCTTCATGTTCAATTCGTGTGCAAAGTCAGGACACAAGCAGGCAGCGGCAAAGGCTTTGGCTGCCTGGCCGGATGGCCTCTCCACGATGAAGGCCTAAGTCGAGGATTTGTAAGGACTCGCAGAGGGTGGGGTGGTGAAATGCAACAGCTTCGCGACGGATCCGAGCCACCAGCCTCAAGGAAGCTGAACAAGTTGACCTGCAGGGCTAGCGACTCGGGGAGGCAGGATCTGCCTTTCAGGTGCAGTTTGTGGCTTTTGCCCTTGGTTCCTTGCACCTGTTCTTGCTGGCTTGAAAGCCGCTTGCATCTGTATACTTCTTACCGGAAACTTTGGCGTGCAGTTGTGGACTTGCTCATAACCTACAACTCTCATCGTTTGGGGCATCGCAAGGCTTTGCGGCAGAAACGGGGCCAGGAGCGGTTCCGATTTCGGGAGACTTCCGAGTGGTTTGGGCTGAGGGTACAGACTGCAGCCGCATCATCCGGCGTCTTGCTCTGGATTCTTGCACGCAATTAGGAGGTCTCTCTTGTTTGCCACAAGTATCGCTAGCCTGGTTCACATCAAGACGGACAATCCGGCAACTGGGCGGCAGGGCCAGGCATCGAAGAAACACACCACAAATCATTACTCTGCTGGACACTTGCCAACTATACATGACGAAGGCTTTCTGGGTTTCGGGTTTGCCAGCTAAAGAGCAACAGCAAAACGCATGGAAACACGAAGGAATCTGATCATCTGGGTCCACAGCCTTGCCAGTCTCACGGCCACTTAGCTGGTCAAGTTGCAGTACCATCTCCTCCAAGTCTGTGTCACCTGGCCACTGATTTTGGCTCTCGTCCTGGACGGTTCGACAAAACCAACAAGCCGGCATCGCCAATGGCGTGGCCCTTGTGCATGACGTCTTCGATTCCCTCCAGTCCTTAATACTCAGCTACAGGAAACAGATGCGCAGTACTGCCCGTATTCCTGTGCAACCTCGTCGCCTTTGAGGTAATCCACCAACTCGCCCCTTGTCAAAAGTCCATCACCGGACTCGTCGCTTTTCTCGAACTGGTGGGCCCTTGGCATCGGACATGTGGGATGACACGGGCAGTGCTCCTGTATTCCGGTGAGCACCCTCCACGTAGCTCTTGCAAAAGCCTTGCTTCCAAGACGAACTTCCAAAGCTCTAGTATCCAACGCTTCCGTGGACAACAGCAATTTGGCCTGTTCGTGGCTGGAAACAGGTATGAAAGGTTGGAACGGCTCAGAGATGGGAACCAAAAGGTGGGAAAAGTGGCAACATGTGGGAAAGGTGGGAACAAATGGCAACATGCGGGAACAGGTGGTGGGGCAGGGCATTCCCAAGTCACATCACTTCCGTCGAGGGGCCTCACAAGTGCTCCTCGATTAGGCATCGCACTTTTATAGTGCACATACCACTATCATACCACTAAACACCATGACCTATCAATACCGCTCATGCTATGGATATGTTTTTGGACTGCCGTTGAACTACAACCACCAAGCACTTTTCTTTATGAAGCTAGGGGCCTTCACATGAGGTGGCGATTCGTGATATGGGCTGGCCTTCTGGGATGCCTGGCCAATGACAACCCCAAAGGAAAGTTATTGAAGCTTCGGCCCAGGAGTCCAAGACATACCGAGAAAAGCCCTGCTAACTGCAGACCAGCAGCAGTCGCTGTACCTGAAAAACGGTCTTGCGCGAGTGCACACTGGCACCAGTTTTCACCTCAGCTCGGAGCAAACTTCTTTGCGAGCGCGATACACGGGCCGACTTTTCTACCGGCTGCCAACTCGTTCAAATCATCTTCAGTGAATGCACCACTACTTCAGCGGCCCACCAACTCGTCCTACTTGCCAACATGCAATGCCATGGCGAATATCTGACAAGACGACCTGTGAGGCTAACCTGTGCAACCCGCCAAACGCAGCACCTTTAGAAAGAAGATCAAAGAAGTCAGGATTCATCCAAATCCACGCCAACACATGCAACCGATCACAATCGCAGCACATGCCTTCTTCTGGAATCTATGCTGTGCAGTACCAAGAGTAGGTAGATGCCTCGACGTCAACATGCCCTTGAGACCTGTTGGTGCAGCAATCGTTGACGGCAAGCCGAGCTGCTCGGGTAATGCCTGGTTGGTTGGACATCCTGTCTCTTTTGAGAAGCAAATGGCCGATGTGGTTCAGCGCATCCCTCCACTCGGCAAGGGGGTCATCGCCTCAAGATGCAATGCATCTCTTGACAGACCCTGGCACAACATCATAGCAGGCAAGATCTTGTCTCGTGGCCGTCGCAGGCAATCCTGAGCCAAAGGCCTGTCATGGCCTTCGCCTGTCGGTAAATGACCTCAGCACAGCATCAAGCGGTTTGTCCACGAAGCCAACAGCTGTAACAACTTGCGAACCTCTTAGTTCTGCCCAGAACTACAAGTAAAGCTCAAACCACAATCAAGTCTGCACACCTGTATGCATGAGCGATTCATGTCGAGCTGCTGTAAATCTTTCGAAGAACTCATGCACGCCCAGCTCCGGTGGGGCATCGTCATCTGAGTTCTGCTACCGATGACGCGACATCAACTCGTGAACTTGGCATTCCGCATCCTAGCATACCGCCTGGCTGCAATTCTGTGCATAGTGCACTCGCACGAAAATGGCCGTACGACGCTCCAACGTTCCAGCATGAGTAGGTACAGCGAGACTACGGCAACGCTTCAAGAAGCCCATGCATGTGAAGACACGCTTTGCGCTAGCTTTAAACTAACTCGGGCTTGGCACCTTCCTCCTCAGCTGGGAACAGCCCATGGGCCAAGGACTGCAGCTGAGACGTGCTGAGCACGTGAGATGTTCGCTGGCCAGGGCTATCATCCTTGGAAAGCATGTGTGGACACAGAAACAGGAGGACATTACCGCAGTTCGTCACTTCGTTCTGCGGAGCCTGACCTATCTTAACGGTCTTAACAACTGGCATGCGCTTGCTGGTGTACTGTGGCCTGTGGCTGCTCCAAGGAGTCCAGGTCTCACCGTTTGCGCTTCTCAGGACGTACTGTAGAAGCATGTGCTGCGATGACAGAGATATGTACATCCAGGAATAGCCAAGGATCAACTTCTACTTCGCTCTGAAGTACCTTCCTCGGCTCATCAGGTTCACATGCTATGAACGCAGGACTTCGAAAAATGCGGCAGGAAATGCTGACAGATAAACCAAACCGACGGTGATTCTGTGGAAATGCAGCAAGATGTTTTTCTGCCCCCTGTCAGCAGCATGATGTGGTCATAGAGGGCGCCATAAGGACCACCCGGGATTGAGACAAAACCCGCAGACTTGAGCTTTAGCTGCCAGTTGCTGGCTCTGAGAGCGTCGTGCCCCAACCACGCGTCCCAAGTGGTTCCCAAACAGAATGCGAAAGGGTCGGAAGGCGGAAAGACATTCAGATCTCACCAGGCGGCAAAAAGTTTTGCACACTGACTTTGCCAGAGTGTTCTGGATCGAACAAAGCCAACGTAGCTTTCCTGAGCCGGAAACGGAGCAAGTCTGCAACCACGCTGGAATCACACCGTTGCTGAGTCTTGCAGTTTCTTCAGCAAATTCAAGGCTGTTCCGGCCCTGGAGCGTTGCTGCATTAATTGCATGAGCATGCTAGTTGAGCAAAGCAGCAGATCAGTATCTCGACCTCGGGATGGCCCAGTGAGGCCATGAATCTACCGCATGAAAGAGAGCCAAGATGCGCATCCCTGAACTCGGCAGCGGACAGTACAAAGCCTCGTAAGCATCCTTCATGAGAATGGTCTTCCAACCCACCTGAGCCCGGCAAGTCGTCGAGTTTAGCCGCGAAAGCTTCGGCCGAGCAGTCTGAGTTCGGCCGAGGGGCCCATTTCTCTTTGTTGACGCCTACATCGAATCGGTGTAGAAATCTCCGATAATCGACGCGTCGTTTTCCTGCCAAGTCTATCGATGTCTAGGACGACAACACGGACGCAACAGTGTCTAGGGAAGCAGTCTGCAAACCTCCAAACACTCACAAAGAGATGTGTACAACATGCATAAGCGAACAGCATCTGAGTGGCACTTCGCCATGCTCAACATGCTGGGCCAGCACCCTGCAGTGTCCTTTGGGCAGATCTGTCTGCTCCGCATTCGCCTCCTCAGAGTCCTGCGCATGCATTTGCATGAAATTACGAAAGAGCCTGCTAAGGCAGAAAATGCGTAGAACGCTCAGAAGCTTCTGCAGCTAGCCGAATTCTGCAAACAATAAGCGGTGGTTAGTCCGGCTGCAGCCATTCTCTGAGCAAGTGCTGTTCTTGAAAAGCCGCATTTTCTGTATGAGCGTCCGTCAGTGCTTTCTACTTGATGCCTGGAACAAGTCCCATACCTTCGATCCCTCTCTGTGCAATTCATGAACTCGAACCCCTGCTAGGTCCGCTTCTGTGATGCCCCACAGCTCGCCACCCATGGACCAGGGAAAATTCCTGAGATTGAGCTCGCAAATTCGCTGCACCAAATTCTTGGGGACTGCCCTGCGACTGGTGCGAGGGAGCGAGAGTCACACCATTTGCCTAGGTCCCCTTCCAGTATGCTGCCAACTCGGCATCTTCGGCGGCAAATCGGCAGTTGCACCCACATCCAGTCTCCATGCGCCATGGGCAGTCACTGGCAAAGGGTAGTTTTGTGGGTGTGGCTCTTGGACCTTCGGTTAAACCGTATTGCAACCTGCTTTATGCCAACTGCCTGCATGTTCTTCATATGGACTCTTTGCTTTTGCAGACCAGCAGCTCGCCACAAACGGATGTCAGAATGTCACACCACGACGAGAACGTTACCTTGGTCTGGCCATATAAGGCTATATAAGAGCTTCTAATCACTAGCCTACTGTAGGGGCCTAAATAATTACCAATACTATTTTTGGGGTTCCTTATTATAATGATTATAGTGTCATCACCACAAGACCCTGTTCGAATTATGAAGACCCCCATATTTCCTCCTGCGCAGTGTCTCGTCCAAGAGGCGCTGCCCGTGCGCTTGTCATCACACTTGCGGAAGTCCTCCTGTGCGGCGTCCAACAACACAAGCACGACTGCTTGGCATGGTGCAACATAAGCCGTGCATGCTAACAACGTTCCTTATGGGCTTCACCACGACCTTCTACAGCGCAAGTCATCGAGAAAGTGGCACAAGTTTAACGATGCCCAGAGGTGCCGGGCTCAATGGAGGAAAAGCCAACGTGACCACGCAACAGGCGCTCCCAAAGCTCTGGTCGCAGCTCGACAACTTTCCCGGCCATGCGATGAAGAATTGCACGCTCCTGTCGTGACGCAGGGGCGTACTCAAAATCAAGCTAGTGCTCGGAGCCCAGTCTAGCCGCATCATTGACATTACATCCCAAAAGCAAACACCGTGTTTAGGCAATAGGCCTGTGCCGAAACCTCAGTCACATTTGCTTCCCCTCCCCACTTCCAGCCTGCCGCTGTCCGACCTTCTGAATGTCCTGGCAAAGCTCTACTTACCTAGCAAGGCTTCTGTAAAAGACGCTTGTGAACCGGTGGTAATGACTTACGATGCCGCACCGAAAGCTCTGGCTCTCATGCATTGTGCACAAACACCCAAGCAGGGATTTGAATGGAACGGCTGTTGCATGGCCACCGGACAGTTCGATTTGAAGATCAACTCGCGCTGCTGGCACATCGCGACGAACGGCGAGAGGCGAGTTGCGTCAGGTCTGCTTGGAAACTCCACCATCAGAACATGAGCACAAAGCTCGGAGGGTCCTCCGACGCACGGGCAGCCCCTGCTTCCTCCAATGCCTTGGCAAATGCTTCTACAAACCGCGAATGCCGCACAACCTCAGCTCTCAGAAAGTACTGTACTCCGCCCGTGAACATAGGTCCGGCGCCGCTCTGCGGGCTCCGATGTCAGGAAGCTGCGAAATCTCTTTCAACCTCAGGGGTTGCTTGAAGGGTGGCAAAGGGATCCCGTGCTGCTTTTTCCTCGACTAGCACTGTGGGACCTCTTGAAAGTCAGATCCTGTTGAGGCCCAGGCTTGCCCTGTTCCAGTGCTGGAGCGTAGTGCTCCTCACGCGTGTGCAAGACAACGAACACTCATGACCCTCGGATGCTGTCGTGAAGTCAAAGCCTCCGTTCCAGGCGTCCGATTGCTTGTGATGCTCGTTTCGCTTTAGAAGAGGTGGATCCAGGGATTGCATCGGACCCTTTGCCTAGCAATGCCAAAGATTCCGTCTGGAAGTGCCTCGAAGGTAGCCTGAGGGAGGTGCAAGTGCGGTCTCTTTTCATTGGGTGCTCCAATTATAGGCAGTCCAGCGATGTCCAGCGTCCGACTGGGCTACACGGGAAACTAACAGAGTAACAGCTCATAGCCAGGGGAAGGCCCAGTCCATTCTGGTCCCTCCGAAACTGAGGACTGAGGAGAGTCGCGAAGATGGCAGGGAAGGGGCCAGATGATTCTCAGTTCAAGACTTGAACTGAACATGAAACCCAACACGTCAAACGCCCCCTCCGCTGCAGGAGTGCCACAGACTACACCACGGCATGCTCCAAAGAAAACCCGACTGGGCACTGCCATGTTCGCGCTTCGGCGACGCTTTGCGAATTGCAGTGCTGCTGCCGTATGTACATGCTAACCGCTAAAGAATTGCTACTGGATCTGCTTGGGCTTGCGCCTGTACCTTGCCAGGCCGCTGATGGATGGTCGAAATTTCGGCACATCCGATGCCCAGCGCTTCCAGTTGAATGCCCGTTTCGTCGCCATCGACGTGGGCTCAAAGCTCAAAAACGATGGTGGAGCCCCGCACCTCCTCGCATGGGTGCTCAATGACTCAAATTGCGGGGCATCAATGCTTGGACAGAGGCTGTGAATGCAGCTGAGAATCGACTACCAGGTCCCAGAGGTTGGGTACCGGCCCGCGGAGATCTGAACTCTGTCCACCTCCTGATCCTAGAGTGTTCAGATCTCCGGGTCGCAGAGGGTATTGGTGGCTTCCCTGAAAAGCCGCAGGCGCGGCGTCTGCCGTGTGTGGGTACACCTCGGCGGCTGCTTGAACACCGACTGCTAGGAGGCAGACTATAGATTGGATGTAGGCGAGCGATTGTCCTGGATCCTGATCTTGCTACAAACGGCGAATGCAAGTTCCGCCTATAAAGTCTGCAATCCCAAACCGACCTTGCACTCTGATCAGAACAGCCTCACTCAGCAAGGCCCTCACAATTTACGAGTTTTCACCACCGAGATGCTTGCAGCGGGCCTGCCGGATTCAGAGGTACCATCTCACCGTTGATACGTACAAACGGGGTCGTTGCAGAGTGGCCCGGTTGACTGGATTTTTCCCAGAAAAATGCCAGGTTCGCAGCCAAGCCTTGCTGTGCAGCCTCGCGAACGTCGCAAATGCCATGCGTCGAACCGCCTGTGCTTCCCAGACTCCGGACAACCTCGAAACATCTCCTGCAGTCCTCCGAGCTGGTGAAATTCACCACGGCCAGTTTTTGCCAAGGCAAATGTACAAAATCGTAAGGCAGAGAGGACCTGGAGAATCCACACAACTGCTGGATCTTGTTCAAGAAGTCATGCTCTGACAGCTTCTCGGTCAGCTTGAAGAGAAGCGTAGTTGCGTCTTCCGAGAGGCATGTCTCGGGACGCGTGAACTTTCCAGCAGTCGGCATTGTGGCTAAACTGTTGCGACACGTCGCAGCAGCTCATACAAGCATGCCAAAGTGACCTGCCTAAAACTACATGTATGGCACTCTATAATATCATTGAGCACAATAGGTGCTTCGAGCGGCGCGGGCAAGGTCAAATCCGATCACATCGAAGACTCCTGTGCCCTTCAACAGTCCGCACCTCGCATACATTCACGGTTGCAGCAACTGGTGTCCCAGGTTCGATCAAGCCACGCCTCGTGTCGTTTCTACCCCTGGTTTGGCCAGATTTGCAACACATGGGTCCGTTTCCGTATTATGGATCCGTCTTCCTCTCATGCGAGCACCTTTCTGAAACACCTTGTAGCACGTACGCTTGCCATGGTCAGTCTTCCAAGTAGCCGAGATTCCAAACACAAATCCGTGCAAACGACCTGCTGACTAAGGCGGGTTCTATCTGGTTCCAGCTTCGTCTCAGGACTTAGCACACTTCCGGCGGGAAACGCTGGCATGTGCTGGTCTCCTCGAACCGAGCAGCCAGGCAACAGCCGTCCTCACTGCTGACGTTGCTGCTGGGCCGGAGCTCCAGCAAGCAGACTGCACCCTGATGAGTGGGACACCAGTTGCAAGGAGATGCAGTGCGGCAGCGACGCGGACTTACTTCAGACACATTGTTTATGCTCATCTGTTGTGGTCTGTGACACTACTCCTCGGAAGATCTGCGGAAGACGAAAGCGAACTTCTGCAGCAATTTGAACAAGATTCCACGCCTTGTTTCCTGAAGTGCCACAGTAGTTGCTGGCGCTGAAGAGGGTGTAGACGAGACCGAGATGGTGCGTGCTGAAGCCACGCTTTTCCTGCGTCGTGGATGACAGACATCTCTGGTCTGGGCCGCGGAACCGACCGACCTAGACTCAACATATGCCGAAAGGGAATGTAGAACTGCGAAGACTTGCCAGAGTAGGCTTGGTTGTGGCATCTGCCTCGCTTCTTGCGTCGCTTGCCACAACAATGCGGGGTTGCTGCAGAAAAGCGAGCACCTGCTGTCTAGGTTGCAGGTCCCTCCGAAAGCAAGCATAAACCGCGTGACATCTCTCGCCTCTCGCTCCACACAAGTCGCCCAAATCAAGGTTACAAAACACGACTGCTACTTAGCTGCTACCTACCCATCGTTCAGGAATCATTTGTGTAGACTCGACGGACTTACAGGGCATGGCCGGCTGATGCCGGCTGCACCCTTTGCAGCGCTTCAGGCTCCGCACGTATCTATGTGACCTACGGTCTGACGTGGAGTCCTCGGGAAGCTGATGTGATCGAATGATCCATTTCAAGCCTGTCGCCAATCACTGTTCAGCGAAACTCACGAGATGCTGCCCTGCCTGTTCGCTTCAGAAAGGCCGCAGTGAGATCAGGACCCCACCTTGGCAAGCTGGCAGAGCAGCGGATAAATCTTAAACTCGACAAGAGGGCCCCGGCTTGATCCCAGCACCCCGGGGGTTGGCCTCCCATCCCAGTTTCTCCTGCGGATCGGACCATAGGAGATCCTGAAAGACCTGAGCACGTGCAAGAAGCCGGAGGCTGTGCAAGCGTGACGACAGGAGTCGCAGAGGACTTTTGACAGCAGGCCAATGAACGTTGACCTTCTACAAGTGAGAAGTGGTCTGATTTAAGTGCTTCTGTCAAACTGTTGGAAAAACCAAAGCCAACAGCACTGACACACTGCATCGTGCGAACCTGTTCCTCCAGGCACAGTGGATAACAGCCTGAGGCATGCGGACGTCAGGTTCATGCCCATTCTCGTGCCACCAAGTGAGCCGACTAACGTCCGTTGGCCTCCATGTGGGCAACTGACGACTCCAGCATCAATGTCGCGCACAAAAGGAAGAGTCAGGTTGGACTTCGCATTGCGCGCCTGGCAGCCACTGAGGAAACTACGAGCACTGAGCAGCTGCCAGAGTCTGAGTGTAAAGCCAAGCCCCCATGCACGACGAAGAGTTCCTGTGCCAGCAATGGCAAAACTTGCACTCCAGTGTTTCACTGCAGTTAGGGTTTGGAAGCTCGTGAAACCGGAGCTTTAGGATTCTAGTCGAAGACTCATGCGCTGCCGCTTGACCAAATTCTCGGCAGTAGCATTGGTGGGTCCTGTTGCACGACTGCAGCCAGCGGCAGCATCTTGTAAATAGCTTCGAACTTCATGAAAACACCTTGGCTCTCAGTGGGTTCAACGATGGCTGATGTGGGTGCTGGACTGCAGCCATCATTCGGCAGTATCTTGGCGCATCAGGGTTCATTCCAAAGCTCGTGGACCATAAGCCGCATGCTGTTCGCACAAGGTTGAGATTGCGGCCAGAACACCGCCGGTATATTTTTGCAAAACCTCATCATGGAAACCACCACCTTCTTCACTGGGAAGCTTGTTCATCTCTTCGTCCTCACTCTGCACAAGCAATGCAAAGCCGGTGGCATCAGTGCCAGCAAACCTGACAAGCTTGGGGAAACTTTTCGGGTGTAGGTAAGGGCTGTTACTGCAAAGGCCGCATGCAACATCTGCAGATTCTGCAGCTCACCCGGTAGATTGTTTCCCCGAACACCCTTCTGGGGTTGGGTTGTCGGCAAGGCGTGGAGCGCGAGTCGCAGGCAGGGGCGGCACGCAAGGCGTTGAGCGCGATATTGGCCGTGCGGTGTGCGGGGGATGCGTGGACAACGGGCGGAGAGCGATATCGGGTGCGTGGGCGTCGGGACGATGCACGATATCGGGTGCGTGGGCGGAGCTCAGCGGAGGCATTGACAAGGCCGGGAGCGCGAAATCGGGTGTGCGCGGGGGCCCTTCTTGCATCATTTTCTTCGGTTGGGTGTTCGGGTTTCCGGCTTGACCTTGTTTTGCTTCTTGCCGCAGAACACTGTGCACTCCGGCATGTGCTATTGTGCTATGGAGGCTCTATACTGTAGTGCGCCATAACGGGTCCAAGCTGAACATCCGTCCTCGTGATTGCCCCGGATGATAACCAAGCTGTCCGGATCTTCGATGAAGAAAGCAAAGAGAAGAAGAAATATCTCGCAGGCATTTGGGCCTGGCACCGGCGAGAACACATTTTTCCCAAGTAAGCTACTTGCAACGTGCTGGCTGACACCCTGCCCATTCCTGAAAAATGGAACCTTGACTGCCATTATTATCTCAGTTGCCTGTCCAGAAGATCCCAGTCGCTGCCGTGAGGTGAAAGACATTGCAACAGTAACATTGGCGGCGGTGGTCGCGGTCGTGGAGTAGTAGGAATGGTGAAGTAGCAGCAGCAGCGGCGGTAGCAGCCGGTAGCCTTTGCGGCAGCAGTAGCAGTAGCAGTGGCAGCGGTAGTTGTACTACTAGTAGTAGTAGTAGTAGTAGTAGTAGTAGTAGTAGTAGTAGTAGTAGTAGTACCAGTAGTAGTAGTAGTAGTAGTAGTAGTAGTAGTAGTAGTAGGAGGGGAGGAGGAGGAGCAGCAGTAGCAGGAGCAGTAGCGATTGTTTTATGTAGTAGTAGACGTCGTAGTAGTATCACTAGTGGTGGGAGTAGCAGTGGTGGTGATAGCGGTGTGTGTAGTTGTGGTTGTGACAACGCTGCAGCTGCTTCTGCGACTTCTCCGACTGCCTCTGGTAGCAGCACTGCAAATTTCTTCAGGGTACTGTAGCTTTGCTTTGTTGCCTCTTGTTGTTCGTCATTATTGGCTTATGGAAAAAAGAAACAAGCGCTACAGCCGCTACGGTACCCGAAAAATTGAAATGATTGGCATTGGCATTGTGAGACTTGCTCCTTCACATAAAATTCCCCAGACCCGACGACAGCCACCAAAAGCACCAGCTGCTTAGCGTCATCAGCAGTGCAAGCAGGCAGCAGCACAAATCAGCACCACTCCGAAGACGACGACTCCACCGCTGGCAGTTCTCAAAATGTGAATCACCACATTTAAGAAGCCATGCGCCAGCACACATGGCATGTGCAAGTGGATGACAACGAGCACGGCTTGAATCGAGCATGCAAGGCAAAGCTACATATGTAGATAGTGTAATCTCAGTATATGTCAGTGGCAATTTCCTATGTCTTGTGGTTCGCGATTCGCAATCTTGCAGCTGCGTGGTCAACATCTCACTCCTGTGACCGCTTTTGATTGAATCGCCGCAGTTCTGGGGTCTACGCGACCTGGCTTCCCAAAACTGTAATCGTTACTCTCAAGGCCTCTGTCTGCAATGTCACCATTGAAGACATACCTGGCAGGCTCGAGCATGACACATCGCCTGTGGCTGGCTTTCCCTATCTCTTCGCTATATCCAACTCTGACAGTTGATCTGTGGCAACTCAGCGAGCCTGTTTCGATTGGAGGGTGTGCCATGTGCAAGAAATATAGTGAGGACATCTTCCAGCTGCCCATGGGTGTCGCCTGGCACTCGAATCAGGCAAGCTGTTTGCCTGAGAAGCTTAGCCGATCAATAAGGGGGTCCTGCTGCCGAGAGCTAATTTGCAAAGCCATGGGCGGGTGCATGATCATTGCTGTGCCGCTGCAGGGCGCCAGCCGGCCTACCACAATGGTCTGCCCCCCAAAAGGAACTTCCACATCAGGTAGCAGGGAGGTATACCTGGCGACAGGCAGTGGGGCACAGGATTAGCAAATCTTTCCTTGGTTTGATGAGGAGAACATAGTCTGGGCTCTCGAATCCGCACAATCGAAGCCGGACTGGACAAGACAAGATCTGTCTCTGTTCTGCCACGTGGTTCAGGCCTTACATCTTACATCATCATCAACATCGAGTTTAGAATTGCGAAACAGACTTGGCTTTATGCTTCTGCAACTCAGACTACGCCGGACGAGGTCTGGTTTTAGTCTTTGCTGTGACTGATTGCGCAGTCCTAAACCCTCGCGGCAGTCATCATGCCGAATTATTCCCCCCCGACCGTCCGGCAGGGCCTGCAACAAGGTAAGTCAAGAACGGTCTCTCACGCATAGGCTTGCCAACTGGACGTAAGTCGAAAAAAGAGGCATCTAGCACGTCCTGCCAAAGGCTCCAAGCGCCCATATTGATGCTCTCTGTTCCAACTGCCATTGTTCGCATCCGACGCATCAGATCTGTTCGCAACGACTTGTTGCAGACATCATGTTACAGTCTGAAGCTTCTGCATGCTTTGCGGAACGCACATGCACTAAGAAAAGAGTACCCCAACACATGCACTGCCGTGCCTGCCATACTTGTCTGTCCAAGCCTGGCTGGATGGCCACCACAGCAACAGCTTACACTTCTTAAAAAACCGACCACTTGCTGCATGCCTGCCTTCACAAACTTGTCCAGACATCTGTGGACGTACCTGCAGGAAACCATCACTGAAACAATGGGTTCTTTGCCAATCTCACGTGCGAGCGCGGGGTAATTGGTATTCCTCCAGAGATCAACAGGCACAGGGCTGGGATTGGCAACAGCATATGCTAGCAGCTAGGAACTGACTCGGAACCACCACCTCTTCGAAATCGGCATGCGAGATCTGCGTGCCAAGAGCCTGAATTTTCACAACGATGGAGTCGAGAAGCCATCCAAAGGCAACTTCGCACGATGTCATTGCCACTGCTGCTCAGAGGCTTCTGGAACAACTCGTCAGCCGTCATGTCGAGCCCTTCTGCTCTTTCTTTCTTGACCGCTGGCTTCACCTGGGCATGGTCTGTTTGAAACGGCGGCCGCCAGGGATCGGCTAGAACGTCTGCTTGCCGTTAGGATGCGCTTTTTGCTCTTACGATGGCAGAGTTCCAGGAGTCCTCTGTCGATCTGCGCTGTATCACCAGGGCGGCAAACGGATCTAGCGTGATTCAGATACGACACGTCCCTCCGCGCCCCAGAAGTCCTCGATTTGCAACTCCTGTTGGCATGACAGCACGTGATGGGCTGCATGGGCAAAACTACCAAATATGAACCTCCATCATGCATCGTGGTTCGGCAGCCTCGTCTTCTTCATCTTCCTCGTCTTCTTCTCCGAATCGCGACTTTGGCGTAGTAATCGTGCTGAACTTTGATGGTGCTCGATCCTCGAACCTCCCGAGCCTGAAGCTGTAGGTGGAGAACTGCTCACTCTGCAACAAGAACTCGCTTGTCACCAAGATGCTCGTCGCCAAGCATCTCGCCCACCTAAGTTCATTACTCTCTTGGCCTGGCACTTGTTGCGATGCTTTCCCGAGTGTCTTCGGCCCCGTCACAGAGAAATTGACAGCATTGTACTTTCCCTGAGGCACATGGTTGGAAATCTCGTGAAATCTGCATCCTGACTCCTGACATTATGTCCAGTGAACAAGTTCCGACTGAAATCAAATCGTCATGGTCTTCTGAGAGGATTCACTCCAGGCCGGGCGACTCTACGTCGCATGAAGAGTTGCTCCTTCTCGTGCGTCTCGGCACAATTTGCCAAGTACGCTCTGACTTGAGCCGCCAACCTCGAACGGTCTGTGCCAGGACATGGCCACACATGCGCATAGCTATCTACCGATCTGCGAAAGATTTGATGTCCGATTTCTGGGCAGTGCTGCCACACATGATTTGTCCGCTCTTGACAGATGAGGCACTGCTTCTTGGCCAGGTAGTTGGCCTCATCTTGTTCTTCGAGGAGTGCTTCACATCGCTCCATCCAGGTGGCAAAGGCTTTGCCTTGCCTGATTTTACGAGGCTCCCGAAGCCTAAGATGCAAAAATCACAGCGAGCTGTGCCCACGCCTGTTTTGGCTGCCGGCCGGGACCGTAATCTTTGGCAGGACACCAGCCTGCTCCTGCAGAGTGCGCACACTCAAATTCGACTTGCAGCACTGCAGATTTCCAGCGTTGCATGCTGCTGGCTTCACGTACCGGGTGTTCTTCTACCGGGTGTTCTTCTGTGCAGCACTGAGGCAGCATTAGGTGTCCGGTCCTCGATGCAGTTCAGGATCTCGGACGCATCCATGAGGCCCATGTCCTGCCATGTCTGGTGTCATGAGCCAAAACACTGGTTCGGATGTAATGCTTTCACGAACATTCCACATGATGCAGAACTGTGTGATGCTCCGTGCGAGCCTTGCACAAGGCTAGACTATGAAAGGCTGCAGAAAGCAACGGCACCTTTAGACCATGGGATGAGTCTGGGGCAACGGTTTTGGACGAAGAGAAAGAGCGGTTTGCCGTCGAGATCCGTCGGGGATTTCAAATCGAAAGGGGCAGTCCGGAAGTTTCGGAATAACCTTTGCCAGCTGTCCTGAGACTGCTCGGACGTACTCGCCCTTCTCAGCGCTTGGGCTGCCTTGCAAACGACCCCATCCCGGCGCCGTCAGGGCCTATCAATCTTTATCAAACAACTCTGCGCAGGAACCCTCGCTCTCCCCTTTCCGGCCGTTGCCTGGGCGGACACACCGGCATCCTCGTTTGAGGCTGGAAGTGAGGTTTAGCGTCTACCCACAGTCAATGTCTGTGTCGCGAAGAGACCGCAGCACAGGGGCACACGTTACATGCTGCAAGCTTTGCAGCCAGTCCTGTATCATTGATGCTGCCACTCGCAGCAAAGCAACATCAACCTCGTCCTGCCTGCGAGCGAGTTGTGGCAACGTCTTACTGCACGTGATCAATGAATGCTTGTTAAAGCCCAGGGCCGGTCCGAAGTGTAAACAACAGAACAGTGCAGGATTGAAGCCTCAATCCGGTCTCGAGGAGCCTTTGCTTCACATCCTGCCGAACAACAGACATCCAAGAGAGAGCAAGCAAGCCGCATCTCATGCCCCAGATATGCTCGTAGTTGCTACACGTACTGTTCTCCTGCACAGTATGCCGCCGCGAGCTCTGCGGCGACATGGTGCCGCCAGCCTGGTCATGGGCACTTATGGGCCCCGAATATCGGGTCTCAGGAACTTTCTGCTGTTCAAGCCTCATCCACCTGTGGCGGTGCAGGTATGCTACCTTGCAGGAGTGGTCGGTGCAAATCACCCCATATCATTCGGATGTAGCGCAAGTCCCTCATTGAACTGCTGCAACGTTGCCGGAGGCTTGGCTGACATCGCCTAAAGGTATCGCCAGGTTGTCCCTGACTTTTCCTGGCAACTTCCCAATGGTGAGCTCTGTTCAAGACAACTCTAGCCAATTCCGACCAATATGCCGTAGCTGCTCGACTGCAGCACTGGTCTCGGTAGAGCCGTAACTTTTCTCCGTCGATTTGTGCCAGACCAGGCTATTTCTGACACTGTTTACCTGTGGAACGCACAGCACACGTGCAGCACAGTCCTTGCTTGTTTTTGTACACGAATCTTTTCTGCGCGCCGGCAGCGCTGCCCATGACTCGAAACTGTATCTAGGCTTCCTGGCACATGGACGTGTGCAAACTATGGTTGGTTTTCACTGTGCTGCTAGTGACCGTAACATGGCTGAACCATTAAGCACATTCTGTCTTATGAGCTCCCAAACTACGGCAGGCTTAGCTCGCGACCTCCTACAGCATTCTGAGCCGCGAGAGTCGCAAAACGTGGAAGAAGCCTTTTAACATCTGGGCGTCTGCGCCCGCCGGAGCTGATCCAATGCTTCCCATCCAATGTATGGATCAGGACCATAAGGGAGCCTAGGCTTATCACAGGAAGAAGTGATGGCTGTCATGCCACTACGGCAACCCCTCACCGAGTGGTGGGCAAGTATGGAACTGGGCTTCTATCGTCGAAGCACTGCTAGCATGCGATCATGGCACAACGAGCACAAGTTTTGGCTGAACTCTGTGCGCCCTAAGAGTGGAGACGAAGCGCGGTTTTCGGGTGAGGGCTCCAGAGCAAACTATGCCCTGCCGCACCTCAAACACGGGAGCATGGCTACATGAAGCGCGCTAGACGGTCTTTTTTCGAGGATACCTGCTTAGCGCTGTATTCCAACATGAGCACTCGCGTTGCAGAAGGTCACTCTCGCATGGTGTGATTCTGTACAACTACACATACATGGCGACCTAGCCTGCACAAAGCCGTGGGACAACACGGCGCGCCGGCTCAACGAAACTTCAAAACCTCGCGAAGCACGTGCCATGAATTCAGTCGTGCACTGTCGCCATGGTTGGCCTGGTGGTGGCATCTAGTGACTCTGGTGGCATAGCCCCTTCAGGGTACGTCACCGTTACGAAAGCTTGTCGTTCTACGGTAGAGGACGGCTTCACACTACTGCGACGTGGAAGGTCGACTTGCTGGCGCCGAACTCGGGAGTTTGCAGCGGCCTGGCGACATGGAAGCTCGGCTCTTAGCTCGAGGCCGTGGCTCTGAAGGCCTTCGCGGAAAGCTCGTAGCTCCCGCAGCCGGAGTGAACCTTGTGAGCGAACACTGACCTCAGTGGGCGCTTGGTGGCCCTTCAGCCGGCTTCTTCCCACTTGTCTTGGCCATCTGCCATCTGCCGCTGACATGTGCAGAAATTGGGACACGCAAGATATGCGCAACTGAGGCATCGTCAAGCCGAAGGATCGCATCTTGGCTGGAGCTCTGGTGCTTTTTGCGACTGAACGAGGCTGGAGAAGTGAACTTGTCGATGTTGCCGTGACGTTTTTGAAAGTCCCTGCTGTTCAGGAACCCACCACCGCACCTTAGCGAAAGTAAGCCGCAGCTGTTCGTGCGTAAGTGCTTCTTCAAACCAGCTGGGCCAACTTCTCTCAGGAGCCTGAAATGCAAGCTTGTGTTCAATGATGCAAAGTATTGCATAACGAAGCCAAGCTGCTTGACCACAAATTCGAGATTGGACAGGAGCTCGCTTTGCGAAATTTGCTTGGGCAAACACAAATAGCTCGGTGTCTTGCTCCGGGCCTGCCTGGCGTGGGGGCTTCGACATTCGGCTGCACTGTTGAACGCGACATGGCCCAGATCGTTGATCCCAGGCAGCGCGGCTGACTCTGTCATGTCAAGTGACTTGCCACAAGGGGATGCCTGAATTCGATCACTCGACCCAAATCCGTCCAAAGAAACAAACATTATCTTTGGATTCTCACGGAGCTGTCCGTGTCAAGTCAGATAAAAAGAAAAACAAAATTGGCGCACAAGTGAGGAAAGCTGCCGGACTGCCATCCAATACAGGCACACGCCAAATCTGACCATGACAATCGTCCATCCATTGCCCCACTTCTTCAGACCTGCCAGGTGCTGTTTGTCGCAGGTAGCGTGAGCACTTCGTGGGACTCCTTGACATCTAGGACCGCTGTTGGGCTGGGCGCCCAGCCCACTCTGCTTAGAAATGGCCTTCTTCATGGTAGCCAATGGAAATGCAAGCCGTTGTCTGAACCAATGATCATTATGTTGCGCATGTTTCCTCTTAATGAACATTGGGGTCTTTTGATAGGAAGTGGTCATAACCTCCAGAACCAATTGTTTGCCCACCCTTGCGACCACAAAACCGTGACGTTCTCTGCACGAGTTAGCCTAGCTAATTTCGTTGGTTGCACGTTTCCAATCAGGAGTCCTGTTGCGTTGGGGCGAGTCACGGTTGAGTTTGGGTCTAAGGAAGCGGAGCGTCAAGATAGAGACAACTGGCGACAAGCAAAGTGTGCGCCAAACGCGACGAGACCCCCCCCCCCCCCCCCACGACACAAAGCACCTCAAGCAATGTGCGAAACGCGGACCAGATTCATCAACGCGCCCTCCTGGCATATGCTTCCCTACCAGCTCGCTTCAACCACTTCCTGGGTTTTGTGGACCCTGACACAAGCTTCGTTGGCTGCCAGCCATGTTTGGGCATGTGGACTTGTTGATTGCAAAAGCTTTCAAACAAGTAGATGCCATTGCTACTTACTTGTGCCACTGCAATGCTTACTATGTTTTGCCCCACTTCCTGACCAAACACTGCGCTGCCTCCGTGGCACGTCATTTCCGGGCAGGCTCATCTTTCTTCCCGAATCCTCCCGAATGCCTGAAATTGGTGGAATGCACCATCAAGGTACCGCCATGAGCCAAACGATGGAGGAGGGAGTAGTCGTAGTCCCAAAGGATACCGTCTGGCAGATATTTGTCAAAGCTCACCCGGCTCTCGGGCGAGATTACTAAAAAATCACCGTGCAAGAACGATATTGTCGAAAGACAGTTCGTGTTGTTCCAGATCGACACCCCGTCGCGTGGGAATACGACGGATGATGGCGGCAACGCCCCCGCCAGAGCATCACGAGCCTGCCTCACGCCACACGAATTTTGCAGCTGCTGCGGTGACAGGCACAAGTCAGCTCGCGGCGGTCCCTCAAGCCAACGACAGCACGGCGAGGCGGTCGGGACAACGACAGCACAACGTCCAAAGTCATCAGCGCGCACGACGCATGCACACATCGAGCTGACAACAAAATCTGTGCGTGTTGTTTCATGATTTTCATGTCTCAAAAAATGGAGTTTCGCTGCAGTGCTCATGGGCCTTGTTGTCGGGCTCCTGGGGCCGAGTGTGAGGGAGTTGCCTTGAAGCGAAATCCCAAAAACAAGAGCATCGTGTGTCAGTGTTGACAAACCTGCCTATAGCGCTTGATCAGGCACCTGCTTGCTTGGGCAACAACTCCCGACTTGTTCGACCTCTCGGCTCTCAGCACCTGCTTCCAGTCCCATCCAGACACTGATGCACAAGAAACGCGGGCGTGGAAAAAAGGCGAAGCAGCAGCCAAGAGCCCGAGGAAATGCCTGCACATGGTGAGGAAAGACTAGCAGCCTAGCAGGTTCAGTGCGTTTCTGTGCTTTTGTCTTGTTTCCCAATGGCCCAACCGAATTCAGAGCATGTCCTGTCCCAGCCCTGGCTTTCTGAAACGAACTCCGGGCTTTCCTGGTTCTTTTGGAGGAATTCCTCGTCCCACGCTCCTTCCTGACTGCACAATAGAGGGCCGTGCCGAGCGGCATTCCCCGTCACAGAAACGGCCCCCCCCCCTCGGTGATGCCCAAGACCGGTCTGCGATTTCTATTTCAAGACGTAAAAGAACGGAAACCTGTAGAGTGATTGAACTCAGAGGGGTTTCGAGGTTCGCGGCCTCCGCGTGCTCTACATGAAGTAACCGCGTAAACCCATGAGCCGACCCTAAATCCTGAACACCAGATGGTAAAAAATACTTACCCTTGAACTCCCAGCCCCAAGAAGTAAAACCCCAAGTCTCAAACCCCCAAACCCTAAAGCGATATCCGAAACCCCACGGCTAAGCCATAAATAGTCTGGCACGAACCTCGAACTCTAAACTCCAAAACCAAAACTTTTCAGTAAAGCCTAAATTTTCCAGCACATAGCCTTAAAAACCCTAAATCGTTAGCCCACACCCGAAATTACAAACCAAACGCAAGCGACACCAAGCCTTCAACCCAACATCATAAGAGTAGACCCCAAACCCTAAACACAAAATGTAGACAGCAAGGCCCCAAACCCGATGCCCTAAACAGTAGACACGAGACCGTAACTCTTAAACCCGTAAGCCGCAAAGCTCTATGCCCCAAAATTCAAGAAGTCGACCCCCCTAAACCCCACTCTAGCCAAACCACCAAAAGCCAACAGCAAAACCCCAGGCCCAACCCCTCGAGCATAAGCCCGTAGTAGCATCGCGAAACCGTTCGGGTATCGCCTCTCCAAGACAACACGAGTTATATGCTGGTCGCGAAGACATCACGAGCAAGATCGAAACACCGGTAACTTCAACTATCGACGGAAGAGGTCCGGTTGTGACCCCACCAAGCGGACAAAGTAAAAACAGAAACCTCGAGATTTCGGATTTCACATGTCTTACATCGACGACCTTCCTAAGATGAGAGGAGTTTTCCACCCAAAAAAACATGCACAGCACAGTGATGGCTCAGTGGGTAGCCTGACTTCCCAAGGTCCACAGCTGCTTTCCGGTGGGCACCGCTTTCTTCCAAGCCGCCAGCTAGGAAGCAAGCAAGCAGACGGTATCTGAAAGACTTCCAAAGCCGCCCAGGATGAAGCCGCACCTCAGACTCATAGACCAGTCAGTGTCCCCAGTCTTCACATCATGTACAGCAGACAGCACAGCACTGCTACATGCCAATCCGCTCAACTAGTGCTCCATCGCGACAGGGCTGAAACTTGTCTTCAAATCTTGCTGCCCGACTTGCCGTTTCCTGCTACCCTAGTCTGCAAACCAACTCAGACACACACGCAAACACATCACGGAATGGCTAGCACGTGCAAGATGCTGTAGGACTGGAGTGCCGAAGAGGTGGGAATTGTTGGCGCAAGAGACTCAAGGCGCATTAAGGAAGGTGAGAAGAGGTTAAGACCTTCAACTTCCTACTGTGATAGACGAATTTAGGGTCAACACTTAGAAGCAGCTCTGTTGTACTCAAGGTGGAAACAAAAGCTGCATGTACCCAGATGAATCGGACCGGAGTGCCGCTTTGCGCGATAATCCACAAGTGATCGTCCGATGCTTGCCGTGCGCCCTTGGCAATGCCAGCAAATACACCTCTGCCATCGATAGCGATACTGACCATGCCTTCTTCGAAAACCACCTCAAACACGCGCCATCCTCTACTTCGGTGGAGACACGTAGGACTTCCTTGTGTCACATTTTGCGTGCCAGATAAAGCACCCGGGCAAGTTCCATTTGCGACCATGTACTGGCGCGATGTAGCGGACACTCCAACAGCACAAGTGCCATGCTTGCTTGCAATGCCAAACCAATGCGCAGACTCTTCACCCTCGTCGTGAAAAAATATCCGGATGTACAGCTGTCTCCCTGCACAGGGCTGTATCGATGCGAATCTTCGCCTTAAGGCCAACCTGCATGGCAAATTAAGCAAAATAAGCTCTCCGTTCGGCACTACTGTCTTCCCCCCACGCAAAAAAAGATTGAGATGGAATCCTGGCCTCCCATTGCAAGGGTCCAGCTTCAATGCTCGACCAGCTGGCTTCTGGTCTCCCTCGTTCGGTGCTGGCAATATGGAAACTGACCTGGCAGCAGCCTCGACGTCAAAGAACGCGACCCACGAGCCTGTGGCTGTGCCTCAGAGCACTGTCTGGTGACTCTCACGGCCCTTTTTGCATGAATCGGCCTTGAACGGATGCCCTCAGTGTCTCTGGGCCTCTGCGGTTCCTGGCGCTGCCAAGATGCCCTTGGCACTGAACAAATCTGCGAGGATGAGGCATTGCTCTGGGCATCTGCAGGGCACTGCCGCTCCAAGTTCCAGATGCCTGCAATGTTCCCACACATGCATGCGGGATGCGACGGGATGCGACGGGGCGGGCTAAGCCAGACAACCCAAGTTGACAGTTTACGCTGCTTGGCACAACGCAAGCAGCAGTCTCCGAACACAGGTGGCAAACAACATGCAGCCCTCGCATCATACCAGAATGAGAGTTGGCAAACAAAGCCTTCTGTCCGGGGTGGTTGACACGCTGGCGTGCTTGCTCGCCGTGTAAAGGTAAATTGTGCCTTGCAGTAAATCAGTGCTTCACGGATGCTCTAGTCCACAACGGAATCTGCTGCTTTCTCAATCTCTACAGTACTGCACTAGGCCCGCCGCGTCCTGCTTCATCTGCAGATCCAGGCGAAATTTGTAGCCAAAGAATCTGAACCCTGCTATCCTTCAGGAACTCATCTTCGCAATAACTCAATATCTGGCCGGAACTATCCTCGGTTCAAGCACATAACGCAACAAAATACAAGAGTTGCAATTGGTACGGCATTTTTGAGATCGCCAAATGTGCCTGTTTCCGCAATAGCGCACATGGCAGGTACTCGCCCGCAAAAACAAACAAACTTGTTGTACCCAGGGCTATCGGCAGTTTGCTCGACTCCGATTCTACATCGGCATCAGTCGAATAGCTGAAAACAGATCTGCTTGCAGCCAGGTTTCAGTGATGAGCTTGGCTTTTGCATCTTGCCTAGGCACCACCAACGGTACGTCGGAATGCCCGGAAGGAAGTGCACATGGTAGGACCAGCATTTGTCGCCGCTCCCACCTCGAAACCCGACACCACGACATGTCCCTGAGCAACGACAACCTGATAAACAAACATTCCTGGGAGGATTTCTTCGCAGGCACGCACTTTTTTTTGGCACGGCGGGGGGTTCAAGGATGCAAGGAAAAGCGCACACGCTATTCCCAACTGCTTCCAAGCTGCGCTGGCATGCTGCCACGTCCACGAAAGCAGCAATGCGACAGTCAGCTGCCCATGTCTCTGGATGTGTCAGAGCTACGTGAACCTACAAGCCGCGTCTTCTGGTGCAAGATACTGCAGCATCTGCACTCAACCTTCACGTCCAGATTTGCCAGCCCCTAGTTCTACAAGTTTAACTGACTGCAGAAACTTATGGATCTGGTGGTCGTTGGCTCCGTGCACACGCCCTGTCGCGGTATTGTGGGTTTGGAAACGTCGTAGATTCAAAGCCGTTCTGGAGTCATTGTTCCTGGCTGGAATGCCCGACTATGTGTAAACCCCACCTCATACTTGCCAAACCACCTGGAGCCGAGGATTTCAGCGACAAGTCTTGCAAAAGCTGTGGGTAAGTCGAAAGGAGATTCGAAATTCAAATCTGTTACAGCAGCTTTGATCTTGGCTCCTTCCTGCTCGTGGTGGAGATGACCGCGTTCTTGGCTATGGTTGTTGATCCACACCCGGCAGGGGCATGCTGCAAAATTGGGAATAAGATTCCTTCGACTTCAATTTTCCGGACCCCGAAAGCCGTCTCACCCAAGAGAGCGAGCCAAGATGCTACATTCAGCGTGTAGACTGTTTCCTCTCGCAGAGATTCTCTCATGCCAGCGACGCATGGCAGCGAGACGCAACACGAAACGGTATGAGCTGCGCTGTGGCTTAAGGCTTAAGGTTTGAACCACATGGACTTCTGAAAGAAAGAGCATGTTTCGGAAAGCGTCAAGGCAAAATTAAAGTACATCGTCGCTCTGTACTGTACAGTAGGCCCTACACCGCAGCTGACTTCTCTGAGTCGAGATGCGGGTCGCAGGTACGCAGCAACAGTAGTGGTTGCAGTATCCCTGCGCATCTGGCTTCCGCAACCAAGCGTCAACGCATCTGTTGCTGATCTGGCTTCTTCATACTCTTCAGCTCTGTTTCCTTGTACACCTGCATCATGTAACAGCAGCTGCAGAAGACGGAGCAGCAGCTGGCTTTCATACACCCTTCTTCAAAGCTTGCCCTTTGTGCCACTGCAGTGGACATAGATGCCAGGCAACATGGCTCCACAATGCATCCACAACAACAGCCGCCAACGAAGCCACAAGGCCCCCCCAGTCTTTCGTTGATGTCCCCCAGAACTGTGCAAGGGCAGAGGGAGGCTCGTAGACAAAGGCCGACTCCTCCCGGTTGCCCACAGCAATCGAAAAGCCCTGTAGACCACGTGGCCATGGTACCGTTGTCCGGGTTTTGTACGCAGACAGGTCTCCTAGCCTAGCTGGAAAGCCGAATGTGACTCGGAAGGCAACAAAGGACTCGAAACGCTTCTGCACTCTTGCCCTACCCGTGCGTCCACTCCCCGCAAATCCTTCAAGCATTGGCTGCATTTTGATCTTGCACTTTGCTGCGTCGCTCTGTTCGGTGCACAGTCGCACCACACCGGCACTGCACGTACAAATTCGCACAAATTTCTTTGACTTTGACGCGCTTCCTTGAAGACTCTCATGCTTTTTACAGGGTACCAGCAAAGAACTGTAGCATGGTTTTTCCTATCACACCCGGGTAGCTGACTGACATCAGCTGCTCGGACTTGCACGAAGCGCCGTTCGCGACTCTGTGTGGGCGGACATCAAAAGTAGAAGTGATGCACGAAACGCACCGCCACTGCCTTTCCACTGGTTCTGGGTGTTGGTCTTCCTCCGCGGTGTGGCACATCGCCACGGAGTCTCAGTTCTTGCAGGTGCCAGGCCTCGGGGCCTTGCCGAGCGCTGGGGTGGTCTTCGTGGTGTCCCCGATGTTCACTGCAGGCGAATGGTCAGTCAATGGCCCATCTGTGGAGGTTCCGCAGCACGGCTTGGAGATCCTCGGTGAGGTCGGCCTTGCTCTGGAACGGAGCGCCCTCGATGTCGACAAGCTGAATTCTGTGGCAATGCAGGAACAATCGCGGGCAAAAGGGCACGGACGTCTCGGATCGCTTGCCATAGGTAAAATCACCTACAAGAGGTCGGCCTAGACTGGCCATGTGCACACGTATTTGGTGCGTGCGGCCAGTGCGTGGTCTCACGCTCAAAAACATCACTTCGTCCTCGGGTGCTTGCTGAAGTTCGGGACATCGGAAGCGCCTTCGAACTTCGTACTCGGTGAAAGCTCGCCGGCCGTACTCTGAGACTTCGCTGCGGCTCACCAAACCACCCTCACCTCCCTCGACCTCTGACGTCAGCAATGGCAAATCGACTTCACCACGCACGCCAACTTCACCCAATGATGGTCCCTCACACAAGCAGTAGTACTCCTTTTTGACGAGTCCGGCCGCAAACTGCGACCGGAACCAATTTGTTTGAAGGGAACCTTCAGCGCCCACGACAAGAGGCAGGACTCCAGAAGTAGGGTAGTCCAGCCTGGAGAAATGAGATGCGTGACAGCCGGGTGTGACAGTCAGTCCAACATCATCATGCCTGCTTCAAGCACAATCAAAAAATCGCTGGACCGACTGCCTGGAGACTATCGACAACGCAGTCCCGACAGGAGCACGCTGGCGTAGAGTCTCCACGAAGTCTTGAGTGGTAACCTTTCTCCGACAGCACAACCCCAAGCTTCTTTGCGAGCTAACATACGTGGGCATCTTCTAACTTGGAGGTGCACATGCGCAGGCTTCAAGACCGCTACAATGCCAGGCCCTTGCCGGAGCACCTGGCATCATGGAGAACTGGATTCCCTCGGCTTGCGTTCAAAGTCTGTTTTGAAACCCGACCTCCGGACCGTCTGCGATTCTGCTTTCTCCATCGGGTCTCCAAAGGTTGCGCAGGCTGCGCAAGAAGGCGAAGGCATAGTTTTCGCCTCTGCTGCGCACGTGAAAGACGAATGTAACAGATCCTGGGCCACGTACGAGATTGGGTTTTGGAAACGGATATGTGGACTCCGTCCGCAAAGCACACGGAATACGACGGAACACGTTTTGCCACTGGGCCTCTGCAGGCTCGAAGTGTACTCGTTGCGCATCCTGCGCAACGTCTACAGCATGACAAGTACTGACCTCCGATGTCTTTGCACAACTCTTGCTGCCTGCATAGACGGCATCTGGCACCAGTCCGTGCCGCAGCATTAGTGGCAATATTGCCATCACGTCCTGCAGTGTCATTTGCCATGGGTAAATGTGAAAGATGCCGATGCTCGATCCCGGTAGGGTGCAGCGTGCCTGCCAAGCGCCTGCCTGCTGGCAGGCAAGTGCCGCTGGGATGAACGTGACATCCTCAAACCCCAGAATCCGCAAATCATGACAGGAGCCCAGCATTGCCATGTCACGAAAGCACGCAGCCAGCTTACAGCAAGCCCTGAGCAACTGAAATTCTTGCGAGCAACATCAGGCGAGACCTCCTCCGAACGCATTTGCGTCAAAAGCGCGAAAGCCAAGCCTCTCTCGCTACCTTGCAACTCCCGGAGCCCGGAGTGCCAAGCTTCTCACAAGCTGCACTTGCACCTAGGCCGTAAGGCACGAGCCTTTTGCAAATGCACCCATCAATGCGTTGTAAGTGATCACGTCAGGCTGGATCTCTTGCGACAGCATCCTTTCTTTGAGCAACGGTCCCCACAAATCGGCAATGCTGCTTCTGTCAAGGTCCTTTGAAACGACAAATGATTCTGCCAGCCTCCCGAAGAAGTGGAGGGCCATTTGCCATTTTACATCGCACGTGTTGATAAGCGCATTGTAGCTCACAACGCTGGGCTGGGCCACTCCCTGGTTGCTTGACGGTCTGAAGAATCAGTCACAGTGGAGCTCTATCCTTATCCCGTCACAAGTTTGCAGCCTTTTCCATCTCGTAGAAGAGCTTAATCGCTGCTGGCCATTCGCTGCCCTTCTCGCAAGCGGTTATGGCCGCCGTAAAGCCTCGCCGCCAAGATCCACGACTTGAGCAAGCTTCGAAACGATTCAAATCTGGCCGAAGCGGCTGATGGTATCGGGTACCATAGCAAGCGCCTGCATCTCACGCAGGCATGCCAATGCCAGCGGCCAGCGAGCGCCGCAAGCAGATAGCAGTGCGTTGAAGGTCAACGTCTCTGGGAATAAGTCAAACGCTGATAGTACGTTCCTCGAAGCATGCATGGCGAAGGGCTGCTTGCAACTGGCATCACTCCATATCACTCCAACATTGCTCCAACCACTCAGCTTAGCCCAGTAACTGCAAAACTAAACCCCAGTGCAAAACGAAGATCACGGACATCACCATCGAATTGTGTTGAGGGCAAATGCAAGTGCTCTCGGTACCTAGATCGGCAGAGCTTCAGAAGATGAACCGCCAGCTGCCACTGGCCTTCTTCTCTGCAGGACAATATTGTGGCATTGAAAGAAACCAAGTCAGGCACCAAGCGAAAGGCCCCCATCTCGAACAGGAGACCTGCAAACGAGCATGACAGCAGGAGCGAGGATGCGATTCGCTGCTGTTCGAGGCTGGCGGCCACGGGCCTATGGCCGACTGCCACTGGCCGCTTCTTTCACAAGCGCTGATTGCCGCATTGTAGCCTGCATCGCGACCAAGACAACACGAGCAAGGTCCTACCTTCAGCCCTTCCAATCAACACTATCGGCTCGTTCCGACTATCTGTATGGTGTCCAACATGACAACTAAGCTTCACGCCCGGTTTTGCAAGCGAATCCCAAGCGTGTGCAGATTCATGGTGAAGCTTGGCAGCCTCATGCGGACCACCGTCATGACTCAGTGTCACCAGACCAATAGCTGCACACAGCGGAAAGCTACAAAGGGAGAGACCAACATCTGCGACACGAGGTCGATGGCTGACTGCCAGCTGCTCCCACACGCGGCGATCGCAGCACCGAAAGTGACCATGTCAGGCCGCAGCCCTTGCTTTTCCATTCTCCTCGGGAACCCCGACATGGGAGTTACCGAAAATAGGGGACCCCAATATAATACCCGGAATAGTAGGATCCTTATCATAAGGACCCCAAAATAAGGTATCCCTAATTTTCGGAAACTCCCACATCAGAGAAAGAAGCGAAAGCTTGCACTTCGAAGAAGCAAATCGTGCACCCGGCCTCATCAAGCCCAAAGCCAACTGCCAGTCGCTTCCCTTCTTGCAGGCGCTGAGCGTGGCATTGAAACCTTCGCTATCGGCCGTCTCTGAAACGATTCAATTTCCACGAACGCTGGCCAGATCAAGCAAACAACGAGCTTCACCGTGGTATGTAAATCGCTGGATTGTCATTGGATCCTGGAGTCCAAGGGAACCGACGTCAAACGATTGTACAGTTTTGAGCTGACTATCCAAGGGTGGAAGTGTCTGACCGACGGCCATTCGATGGCACTTGTGGAGGACCGAAGCCAGCGTTACTGGAACATGCGAGAACCCTGCGCCGTTGGTCGTATTAATTTGGAGCTTGCCGCAGCTCTCAGATTGGCCTCGATGGGCTCCACATAGCCTATTTCAATTGCTTATGCTCTGCTTTGCTAGTACGCGAGGATTGGATATCTCGCCTTGATCGCAGATAGTGTACGTCGGGCTATGCTCGCGCACAGACAGCGTAAGTCAGATCTCCCTGTGCCCAATGGAGCCAAGGCACTCACAATGTCAGGCGAAACTCTTGCTGGCCGCATTTGGCTCAAGAGCAACACTGCACGCTGCCACTCACCTCCTGCCATCTGAACTCACGTGGGTCATGCCTCACGACAGAAATGCATTACCATGCCAGTGCCTGTCTCACAAGCAGTGATCGCCGCGTTCCAAGCAATCTCCTGGAAATGAGAACTACCAGATCATCGGAGCTGAAGATAGCTGAAGTAGGATGCATGCGCTGGCAGCAGCTGTAAGCCTTGTTGGAAGCATCTTCTCTACAGTAGCTGATCTTGCTGACCTTGTCCAGCGTCGGTGCGAGGCTTTCTTGTATATTTATTTCTATTGCCACGCAGAACATTGCTCATGTCAAACACGGGCAAACGGCATAGAGCGGAGGTCGACGCAATTACTTCCCTCAGCCGTCCGTCGGCTGGGCTGCCAGCTCGGGGCGTTGCAATAGCGACATCGCCAGGGCCCAGTCGCCACATCGTCCGGCCGCAGAGATGACAGAACCTGGAAATCACGAAGCTCCAGAATTGAACTAATCACTTTCCACCTGGCAGATGATGCAACACCGTTCCTGCTGAGATGCTGCGCAAACCACGGATGGACTATGGACTCTGTCTTGATTATTTTCTTGATCCAGCATCCCTTGCTACCGCACAGTGCCAGGCTCTGGCTCCTGCTGAAGCTAAGATTCACTACACGAAGTGAGCATGAAAACCACCAGGGGCAGCAGAGGGTTACATTCAGGTTGAGACGGCAGCCAGGAGAGTCCAGTAGACGATGCATAGCAGGCAGGACGGCAAGGCAAAGAGGTCAGAGGGAGAAGGGGGGTACGAATGGTACGAAGCGACACAAACCAAAACCAGGACGAAGACAGATCTCGGACGCCCTTCCCGGCGACTAGCAGCATGTTAGAGGGCATCCCTCTGTAGCATCCACGATTCTAAAAGTTGCAAACGGTCCAGCTTGTCCGGACCCCAAAATAATGGAATCTCAGGAGTAGCGTTCGCACTTTCAAGCCCCAGCCCCGAACGACTGGGTCACTGGCTGATGTGGAATGAATTTACTTCAGCTTGCTGTGAAAGCCTTGGATATGTGTCCCAGAAACACACGTGTCATTTTCCCTAGATCACCGAAAGGACATGACAGCCCAGCAGCATTACTGCAAGCACCTGGGTGGCGGCTCCCGGCAACCTTTCGATCTTTCGCAGGTGAGAAGCAATTTAGATCAAGAAAATGCATCTGCAAACACTCGTCCAGCCGACCTATCATTCCTGTTTTGCCAGAGAGCTTCTTTCTTGCCAGTGCGCTGAGCACGACTGTCGCCTGGCAAAGTGGTGCAGACATGGTCTCCAGAAGCTCTTAGCAGAAATTTTGGGGTTGTTTCACACGCAGAAATCTCGCCAAAAGTCAGGCATCTCGAAAGAACCGTGTCACCCACTCTGCGATATCGGTTCAAGCAACCTCACAGGACAGAAAGGCCTTCTTAGGATTCTCCACCCAATTCGGCAAGACGGGTTCCAGGACTCGGAGCACCTCGGCAAGTGATGCGCATCCGTGTGAGGGCTTGGATATGCTTGGATCACTGTGACCAGGCTCCCCAAGCCAGTGGCTTGCTCGGAAGAGGGAAGTCTACCCAGTCTTTCAAGGAGATCTTCCACTTTGGTCGTCCGAAGCTTGCGCTGACCTCACACACCGGGACTCCATGAAGCTTGTTCCGACTCCGACTTTTCAAAAGTGCAGCCATGCAGCCTCCTGCACTGCACGAAGACGTCGATTTTGATTTGCAGCCCACCAAGCATGCCATGCCATAGCTGTCTTTCTCAAACCCTGTCGTCCGACACAATGCAGATGTCTCTCGAACCGACCTGTGAAAAAGGCTGCAGCTTCAAACAGCGATTCATGCACACAGTGCAGCTCGGATCTTGGAGCCGTAGTCTCAACACTCTCAAGCCATCGCCGGGGCCGACGCCGGAAGCGGCTTGTTTTCCACACTTGCCGCCCTCTCTTGAAGGCATAAGCAATGGGATAAGCAATCAGCCCAGACCTTTGCACGACTGGAAATGAAGATCACAAGTGAATTGGGCACCAAAGGCATCTGCCGACTGCAGCCTCAGAAGCAGATATCCTGCGTGCCGACATGGATCAAAACTCAAACTAATTTGCATGTGAGACCAAAGCTGGCCGGTCCAATAGATGCTGCACTAAGCTGGCAGCGATCCATGGCACAAGACAGTTTAGACATGTTTAGACAGTTTAAGCACTCCAATGCAGAGTGCCTCCAAGCTGAGACAGCTCCATATGCCAAACTGTGCACAGACTGCAGACTGCTCCAGCGTGACCAGCAGAGGGGAGGGCTTGGCCAGCCTCTGCCCGTGACAGCAGGTGCAGAATGATGCAGACGTGTGCCGACTAAGCTCCTCAAGGAGGGAAAACGATATTGATATTTCGAGCTGCAAGATGCCACCCGGAAGAGCGTGCATCATTTTCGTGAATTAGGAAAACCGACACCTCTCCGGCTTCTCATTCGACGGATGTGTCATTGGTCGGAGCCCTGCGAACAGGGGATGTACTGAGAGGGACTCGCCGGACAGTCAGGCGACACGTCTCACAGTGCACCTCCACCGCAGCAGATGCCTCCTTCCCACTGAGTCTGCGTGCCCGAGGTCCCACAATGCCAGAAGCTGGCACGTTGAACTTCGCCTTGGTTTCAGACCACAGTCTGAACGCGAATGTGTCTTGCTGGGAGATATCAGCGAACATAAGCCTCCCGCCCGTTCGAGCTCCAGTGGGATTCCCGTGTGCTCATCGGGATAAGTATCGCAAGTCGACTCAGGACATCAATGGTGGGTCGTTGATGCGCACTTCTCCACATGAGGCTTCTAGGTCTGAAAGCCGCAGTACTGCTTGTCCAAGCTGCAATGGTTGACAAAGTTGATAGTAAATCAATATCCGGAACATCCATGGTCTTGTGGCGCAAGATGCCACGCATGGCAAGCTCCTTGGCCAGATCTTCTTTGACCTTAGTTATGTTGCAGGAGAAGGCTTCCCACTGTGCCAGAAAGCTTGTCCGATTTACAGATGCCCAGGCAAGACGCTTTGTGATAGTGGTCAAGGACTTCAGGGGCACCTGGTATTAAGCAAGTACGCATAACACAAGAGCAGACTTGCATGCACTCGTATGTGTGTGCCCTGACCTCCTGCAGCAATCCGGCTGGACAAGCTTGCAATCTGTCGCTGGATCGTCTTCTTCTCCTCATCACAGTCCTCTGGCTCCGCCGGCATGGTAATCATTTCGTAGTCGTCGACCACCGGATCGCAGTCAGAATTCTTGCATGCCGCAAGCTTTCGTCGATGAGAGAAGTCGTCCTGCCAAAGACGCACGGCTGTCCCTTGTCATGACTGCTTCGGGGTCAGAGGACCGATGTCAACAGGATCGCTGAAAGGAAGAATGTGAGTCGTTCAGGATCCATCAGCATTCGAAACGTTTGTCCTCGGCATCATGGTCCGAGAAGGAAAGTTCGAGGTCGTCCTCCTGAAACAACTCATGCAGCTCCTGGCACAGCGTGAAGAACATGGCGACAAAATTGAGGCAAATGCCAGAGGCTACCTGCCCAAATCGGTGAGACCTGGTTCGAGCCAGATTGGGGTATCATCGTGCGGGGTCGAATGTACTGGGTCCCACCCTGTGGAACTGCGTACACCCTGCAGCTCTCACACATTCCGCAATCAAGCCCTGAACAAAGCGTCGGTGGCCTGGCAAGTGCTGAAGCCAAGAACGTTTACACTCACAACTTGCAACAGAGGCCATGACTTGTCGGGGACGCTATGTGATGATCAACAAGGTTGGAATTGGTTGGGCGACACCCCGCGCCCTGTCAAGTATTGACTTCTGGTCACAAGTTCAAATTACCAAACTCTTGCGCGACCTCGGTATCCATCCATCTTTAATGGCAGAGAAGGGGTACGGGGTTCGTGCCTTTGCCCGAGCTAGTCGGTGCCAAATTTCTCCATCAACCGTTCGACGAGGATTGCAGAAACCCGAACCCTGGACAGGTCCTTTGAGTGCCTTTAGGGATCAATCAGTTTAGTCTTTGGCTTCAGGTTCTGGGTTCCTTTACAAGGCGAGTTTCTCAGACACGCGGGGTCATTTGGCTCTTCCTGCGGACTGCACAATCGTAGTCTGCTTGAGGTGGCGCGGCGAATTTTGTGCGCTGCTCTGCTCAAACCTCAAGGAGGTAGGATGAGGTAGGAGTGTTCCAGACCTCGTGCTGGAAACCTGCTCAGAATGTGGATCAAGCAGCCCGCATGCAAGTGATGACTTCTACGACTTACGATGATCGTGAGCTCGATTTGCGGACTTGGCGTTCTGGCATTTGGTTTTGGCAGCTCCTTGATCACATGTCACTTGTCACGCATTCGCAACTCGCGTGCCTCATGTCAAACTGACAGCCCAGCAGCAAGCGCAAACACAGGCAGCTAGTGTCTCGAGAGACTTGAGGCCTCAGGTTTGTGGGCTCCACTCAACTCCCACTTCTACATTTCTACATCATTTCCGTACTCTTGTTTCAAATCACTTTAGCGCGTGCCTGTCCCGACCTTGTCTTCGACAAGGCCAACGGCTTGTAGAACGCTTTGATACACACCGAAGGTGCAATTCACAATTCAAACGGATTTTAAACGAGGTCACTAGGTCACCTCCTGGCTGAATTGCACTCCTCAAGGAGCACAAACAGTGCGCATGATTTTCGCGAATTAGAAAAACCTATACCATCCCACACCTCGAGGTTTGCATTCAGCGGGCGTGTCAGTGGTCGGAGCCCTGCGAACAGGGGATGTACAGAGCCGGACTTCCCTAGCAACCTGAAGACGCACCTCCACCACGGTAGATGCCTCCTGTCCATTGACTTAGCGTGCCCTAGGTCCCACGATGCCAGGAGCTGGCACGTTGAACTTGGCCTTGGTTCCACACCACAGTTTTGATGTGCATCTGCCCTGCTGAGAGACATCAGCTTATCTAAGCCTCCTGCTGGACTCCTGCCGGTTCCAGGTCCAGCGGGATGCAGGTGGGCTCGTCGGGAAATGTGTCGCAAGTCGACTGGGAGCATCAATGGGCACGGCTGTCATAGGGGGTAGGTTAGGAACGGCAGTACTGTCCAAGCTGCAATGGTCGATAAAGTCGAACGCAAATCAACGTCTGGCACATCCATAGTTTTGTATCGCAAGATGCCAGGCATGGCGAGCTGCAGTTCCAGATCTTCTTTGACCTCATGAAGCAAAGGCACCGCGCAATAGCAGAAATACTTTCATACTTTTCCGATGTTCATTGCCCTCGCTCGACATGAGGCAAGATGCTTTATGATAGTGGTCAAGAACTTCTTGTGCACCTGGTATGAGCAAAGTACACGTACCAACGTGATCATTGAAAAATCATTGACTGCATAATGTGTGTGTCCGTATGCCGCATGCCCTGACCTCCTCTTGCAATACGGCTGGACAAGCTTGCAATCTGGCGCTGGATCATCTTCTTCTCCTCATCACAATCCCCTGGCTCAGCAGGCACGGTAATCATTTCGTAGTCGTCGGCCACCGGATCGTAGCCACCGTACTTGCAGGCAGCAGGCTCTCGACGATGAGACAAGTTGCCCTGCCGGTGACGCATGATTCTCAGTTGACACGGCTGCTCGGGGTCCGAGGACGTCCCAGGAACAATTTCAACACAAACGCTATGGGGAAGCATGTGTGTCGCTGAGAATATCCTAAAGAAAACAGCGACTCCCTTAGACATCAGCTGTCCCAAACCTATGTCCTCGGCATCATTGGGCCAAAATGAAAGTTCGAGGTCGTCTTTCTGAAACAAGTCATGCAGATCGCGGCACAGCGAGAAGAACATGGCAATAAACTTGAGGCAAATGCCGGAGGCTATTTGCCTGGAGCGGTGAAACCTGGTTTGAACCAGAACACCCGGAGCAGAGTATCACTGCGCCAAGCCAGGTATCCCCCCAGCCTCTCATGCATCTTCATGCGTGATGACAGTGCATTTGTGGGATCTTATGGGCGTCTCGCAGCGACAGAAGCCATTCTTTGGTCCATTAGCTATGGCAGCTATGGCATGGCTGTGTACACCCCGCGTGTAGAACCCATCCCACCCGCAATCAATCCCTGAGCGAAACCGGAGCCTACTACAAAACTTGCATCAGAGGCCAACGACTTGTCTTGTCGTGGCCAGCCATGATCAGCCATGTGCTGCCCTGTCCATAGGCAACTCCGGAACCGGTGGGGCGTATCGTATCGGGACACTTCCTGGGGAGCATGAAATCGTGTGGTGTAGGATCAATGCAGGGGTGTAGCCATCCAAAGCTTTTTGCACATTCCGCTTGGATCACCTGCTCAAAGATCAGACCGAATTAACCCACTTTGGAAAGCCTTGAAAGAACATCTTCAAGCTCGGCAGGCAGAGGTGCCTCAGCCTTAAAATCATTTCCGTTTAGGTCTTTGCATTTGATTCGGTAGCAATGCAGGAACAGACGACCGCACCAAGGAACCGTGGAAAGTTGCCTGAGCCGAGAAAACACGGCTTTCCGGAAATCGCTCCATTCACAAAGCTGCATGTCGCATTTGTTGCAGCCGGAGCTCCTCCTTCCATAAGTCAAGTCACCGACAATCGGTGCACCGATGCTGGCCATGTGAACCTGGTCATCGTGATAGCCGAAGCATTCCATAAGCAGATGGTTCTCTCAAAGATTCTGGAAGCATGCAGGCTAAAGCAAACAGCAACAGTAGAAACGTAACAGACACGCCGCACACCCTGCACGGCGCCATGCCACAGCTCCCTCAATTCTCTTCTGTGCGGTTGAAGGTACGCGTATTTGATGTGTTCGACCAGTTCGCGGGCGAACGGACAAGAGGGTCAGGACCCGGTCAGTTGCGGCATCCAGCCGATACCTTGCCAGCACCTCCAGAGCGAGGCCCACGAACTACAAGCAATCATGCAACAAAATGCAACAAAGCGATGTGCGGATTGAGACGTGTTCCTTGTCTACTCGGATTAGGACTGGATTTGAGACTGCTGTCTCAGCTGCTCTTCCAAAATGCCTTGAGACCAGCAAGCCACCTGGTACTCGGTCTTCGCCTCTCGGCCCAAGCTGGAGATTTCAGTCCGGAGTTGATCTCCTCGGAATCTTCAACCACTCTCTGACAAGGGCAGCTCTTCCGTGCAGACATAGAGTCGTACCACACCGGGTTTACGGCTTCAGGTTTGATGCATCTCCTCTTTTCTTCTGCTGGTCTGGAGGGTCTGCAGCTGTGTCGCGCACCCACCCCTTCTGGCTGCCTAGAGTAAAACGAGTGGTGAGGCGCGTTGAAGGCTTCCTGTTGCTCAGCGGGCATTGTACCACGTTACCTACCGCACTCAATCTGCATCCTTGCTGGCGCTACTCGGGAGAACTGTCTGTGTCTATGATGTCTGTGCCTGCTGTGTGGTAGAGCGGGAGACTGCCCGGCCGGCCGATCCACTAGCTTCGGAGAGCGGCAGTGCGACATGAGTAGTAACAACAACCAAAGAGTTGGCCAACAGTCCATCCGGTGATTTCCAGTCAGCTTTAGTATTGACGAGGTTGCTGACAACCTGACAAAGTCCACAACTTAAGAGAAGAAAGAGGAAAACAACCCCCTACAACCCCAAACCAAAGCGGACTTACAGTAGCTCACAGACCTCAGGCACCAGGTGGAGACCCAGCCCCTCCGCCGTAACTGGGCCTCTGCCGCTCGAATCGTCAGCTTCCCCGTTTCTATCTTAGATTGCTGACTGCCTGTGTCCCCCTTGCGGTTGGGGCTTGGCCTCTCTCCAGACCTCCTTCCATTTATGAAAGTGCCCATTCGGCTTGCCTCCTTCCTTCCCGGTTGGTCGGGGCTCAAAAACGGTGGAAGGCCCGCTCTCCCAGAAGCCAAGGCTCCCTTTTTGATGGTGTGCAAGGGGGCATCAATCCGGGCGCAGTAGCCAGCGGCTCCAAGAGGGCGGCCTTCAACCAGGCAGAGGTATTCCTGCAGCGGCTCAGTCACTATAACTACAAGTACTTCAAATCCTGACACTGAAGCGTGCTGTCTGTGCTGATCGCGAAGAGTTCGATGCGCATGTGCCCAGGAGTCCTTGTGCACTGTTCGACCTGCAAATTGAGCTTGTAACCAGTTGGCTGCTGCAGTGTCTTCCGATCCGAGAGCGACGGGAAGCACGCCTGCAGAACGGCCGTGCTTCTCGTGTTTGTCTTACTTGCCGCATCGAAGACGGCTTTCAGAAGGCAGCTACTGCAAGACTGGCATGCGCTCCAGCGGCCACTCTTTAGGAAGGCCTGACGTCGGATGGTCCAGACGGGACACGAGAGTCAGCTCGCATCCAAGTGATTCAGCCAAGCTTTCCGCCAGGTCCTCGGTCCTGGAGATGTTCCCAAGTCTACGAAGAAAAGACTTCCTACGGTAGCCGCTGGAAGTCGCTTGCAGAGGTGGTTGATGCTTATGTCTAGCTCCTATCTCGTTCCTTCTGACATCTTCTGACAGCCGAGTTCATGTGCCATGGTGTTTCTTCTTCAGCGCAGCACTGTCCTCTCGCCACTTGGCTTTGCGGTAGCCACGATGCCAGGACCAAAGCCAACCACAGCAACAGGATGGGCATCTGCTGGACCCAGCGCGCAGGCTGCATGCGGACCTAGGCGTGCTTTTGAACTTCACACATGCGAACATCCAGGGTCGGACGGGTGCACATCGGCACACTCGTCCTTTTGAAAACTGTTCCATCTTGGCCTGTAGGAAGCAAGTTTTTCGCATGGGATGCTTGTGTGGGCTCAGGCTCTCGCATTGCTCGGTCCACATGTCCCGAAGCTCTGCCAACATATCCTGGAATTGGCGGATTTGGGGCCGAATATCAAGGACAAGGTTCAGCAACACAAAAATGCATGCATGATGCACAATGCCACTGCTACCTTAAACTCATGGGAATGCTCCAGCCATTTGCGACCTGTTCGCACTGTCCGAGCCATGGTTTCGCATGGTTCTAAGAGTAAGCCTGAGCCCACGGGGCGTAGGCCCCGAAAGCCTGCTCAGGACGCAAATGGACTGCGGCTACAGATGTGAAAGTGCGACCCGACCCGCCGGCTTGTGTCATTTCGCCACCCCGACAAAGGATTTAGAGCATATTTTTCCATACGACGGAGCCTGAGGCTATCGAAAGGCGGCCTTGGCTTCTGCAGACCGCACGACTAACAGCCACCTGATTTTACGTTGCGCAGGAACCAGCTCATCTTCAGACCTGTGCAAAACAAACTAAACGTAAACCACGTGCTTTGGGACCAGTGTCGAGGGCCGCGTCTTCGCCCATGCCTTGATGTACAGCACCTGCCAGTGACCCAGCGATCATTCCTGTAGGCATCAGTCGCTGTGACCTCCGCTGCACTGAAGCCGAAAGGGTCTAGTACGCTTCAACCAAGAATGCGTGGTAACGCTAGCTCACGCTCACTTGGCGAGCCATTGACCCGGCAAGGCAGACATGTTATGCCAACCGTATGTGGCATTTTGCAATCTCCCCGGACGATCGTAGTTCTGGGGAATGCACCTGGTTGGACTGCTAAGTCTAAACGGAACCCGAAGAAGGGCGAGAATCAGTGCTGCTTAAGCGATGGGCCCATTGCATGCGTTCAAGCTTGAGCGATCAAACGCTTGATTGCAAACGTGCCGAATATGGTGGCTTAGGTGTTGCCGTTGATTGCCTTCCAACCTTGATCAGCAATCCTAATCAGTCCGTGTGGCACATCCGCCGCCCTGCCCTGAGGGATATCCTACTTCCGACGGAAGGAATTCGTGAAAGACCAGGCTCCACCCTAGCTATTCGGGGAAGAGCATCGATGCACCCTCGGTACACATTCCGTGGGAACATCACTGAAATGGAGAAGTATGTTAGTTTCTGCGAGACCCCCCGGTGTCACCCGTGCATGCAGCAACAAGTGCCCATTGCAAATGCTGCCTGCTACCAAGCTCGGTGACAGCTTGTGGAACTGAGCACAAAGTAAGCCATCAACAAATAGTGCCGGGATGCTTCATTTGGTGAAGCAGAGTCAATGCAGAGGTCCACGCTCCGGCGGAGTCACAGGCGCTCATCGCTGCCCCATAGCTTGCTAAAGTAGGTTGCAATGCCTCCTCCGGCATCCTTTGGTGGGGGTCATTCGCATGCAGGCACAGTCATATAACATTCCAGGTTCCGCACTTAGTATATGCCCCAAGATGTCCCAAGCGTCTGAGACAGCATCAGCAACACCAGCTGCCAATGCCCAGCTTTGTCAAGGGCACTCAAGGCACTGGTGTAGCAAATCCTCAGCCGTGAGCGATACATTTTTCACAGCCCTCATCAGCCCGCAGCAGATTTTCAGCAAGCTTTGTGGCTGTTCGTCCATGCCCAAAGTCGCTCAACGAACCTAGCGCGATGACTCGTTCTCCGAAACGGGAAATGAAGTCTGAAAAGGGTGCAAGCCGGAGCTCGTGTTTCTTCTGGTGCTCGAAGCAGGCATTTCATCCAGCAGTGTCAAGGCCATTCTCCACTCGTGGCCTTGCGCGCAAGCGCTGATGGCCTCTGGTGCAATGGCAAATGAATCCAAACACAACTGTGATGAATTACTGACCTGTGCAGTTACAGGCAGAAGTATGATTGGTCAGCAGCTACACATCAATCACAAGCGAGGCGGTCATCCAAGCTGTGCTGCAACTGCAGGCCACCACATCAGGATTCAACAGCCGCAGTTGGAATTACATGGTGCAGCTTGAGTGTCAGCACCGTAGCTCACGGCATCAGCATGCATTGTCCATGTTCCCAGCTTCCGGAAGAAGCCCAAGGCAAGTTGCCACTGACCGCCTGGAAACACGGCCACAGCAGGCAGACCGAGACAAATGCTTGCATGTCTGCCACGAGTCTGGACGTCCCGTGGGCGTGGCCTTTGTCACATGCACTGATTGCCGCGTTGCAGCATACTTTGTTTGGTCGCAAAGTTGCCTGAAGCATGCCTGGAATTGGCACGAGTTTCTGCGTTCGCTTTTCTCACAAAAAGCAAGCGAAGCTGCCAAATTGACCGAGGCTCCGTCCAGAAGGCGCAGGGCCTCTTCCCACATGGCCCCCTCACATGTACAGGCATTAATTGCGGCGCCACAGGCAAAAACGTCCTCAGATAAACGCCGCTCCACATAACAAGATCGAATCCTATCCTTCGCCAAGGCAGTGCAGCCTAGACTCAATTTGCAAGCTCTCAGCTTGCATTTGTGTGAACAAAGCAAAAGCCCGCTGCCATTCCCCACTGGCACTACAAGCACTGATCAGCGAGCTGTACAACACCGCGTTCGGCTGGAGCAAGAATTGGCCTTAGGTTCTTTGCGTTTGGATTGCTTGTGGTGGCTCCTCTGACCTGGGCAATGCAGGGCAAGTGGCGCATGCTGCTACAAATCGCCAAAGCTTGCTCCCAATATCCATGTGCACCGCAGGCATGCGCTGCCGAAGAGAACGAAATCACGTCAGGAAGTAGTTGTTGCTTCTGCATCCTGCCGATGCATGGTGTCTACAGTTCCTTACAGTAACGACTCACTAGTACCCATAAGCACATTGCCTCAAACGCTCATGCCATGCAGGGGGTACGCAGCACTTCTCCTGTCGAACACGGACAAGGAACTTTGCCAGGAATCGGCGGCACAGGCCGCGATTGTGGCAGTATAACTTATCCCATCAGGTGGTGCCTGCCCATCTCGGAGCTCTGTACTCTACATCGAGATGGGTGTCGCGCACGAGCGCACCCACAGCTGCGCACAGTGAACTTGCATATGGCCACCTGGCCTTTATGTCTTGCAGCAGGTTCAGCAAGGCCACCATGTGCTGCCAGCGGTTGCCTTGCAGTGCTATGGAACCCTCTACTGGATCCGACGCGACGGCTGATGAAGTTGTCGATCAGATGCAATATCGGCAAACTCGAAATCTATGTTAATGTCATGTCCTGGCACTGTTTTTGCAAACACCACTGCTTGACACCTTGGGCGGACAACCTTTGGGTAGTACAGCACAAGTGAACATCGACCCCCGGGTGGTGCAGCAATTTGATGGTAGCCCTCTGCTTCCCACATACCCGGTCCCGGTCTCTTCATTCAAAAACCAGCCCAAAGGTCCTGATCTTCAAACCCTCCGACTCTACAAATTCCCTGCTGTCATCTCGAGGACGTGGACAAGACCAACAGGAAATAGTCTCGGTTCAGAATTGCTGATACTCCCGGCTTCCAAGCTGCCCCGTTTGCAGGCATTGAGCGCAGATCCGCAGCTGATGCCGGAGGGAAGCATCTGTGGCGTGGATAGGGCAATGCGAGCCCAAAGCGTTAGGATTGATTGCCAGACCCAGTACTGCTTGAAGCCTAGTTATTGCGCAGGTGCAGTGCTAGTGCTGAGCATGTTATGGATTAGATTCTGGTGGCAACAATCCGCTCGAGTAATCGTTCCGATGCAACATGATTCGCAGATATGATTGCCTCGCGCTCGATCATCCCAAAGAGGAGGGCGACAGCTTCTTTCCAGCGTGTGCTCTTCTCACATGCACGGATGGCGGAAGAAAAGCCTCGAACCACGAAGCCAAACAGCAACTACATGATCAGCCGTCACTCCCGCACGATGCTGTTGCTCGAAAACAGCTGTGCAGCCAGTCGGCTGATAGAATCTGGCGAAACAGGCATGTGGGCCAGGACGTGCACTGCCAGCTGCCAACTGGAACTTCCAAGGCATGTGGTGATCAAAGAGTTGTAATTGACCACATCCTCAGAACCATGGGGTCAGTACCACATCGCAGATTTACTTCCTTCTTTGGACGGTAAGCCTGCGAAAAACCATGCTGCTGGGCCACAGGTGTCACGGGAGCCATCATCAGGCTTGCAACGTTGAGGGCGAGCTGCCAGCTGCGATTCGCTGCATAGTCCAGTAATGCCGCATGGTATATAGTCCTCAGTCACACCCAGCGCAAGCGCTTCAACGATTCTGAGCCATCCCGATAAGGAAGCCTTCAAAACGCTAAATTGCTCCGTCGCACCGCCGAGAAACCTCTCCGCCGCCAATCGGCGAGCTGGCAAACTGGCCAGGAGTGCAAGCACTTGCTGCCACAGACTGATTCTCTGCAAGGCAGAGAGCAGCAGGATTGCAGCTGTTCGCGAAATCGGCGGCCTTGGTCCCCGGATGCTTACAATTTCGGCAAAAGTGCAAAAACATGTGGGATCCGAGCCACTTCGTGCCAAGCGCATTCTGCCACAACAGCACCGCCTCTTGCCAGCGGCATCGCCGCACATTCGCCTGGATGGCCTGGAAGAGACAAGGTGCTTCTGCATTTCAGTCGCAAGAGCCAGGATCATGGAGAATCCAGCTACGGCCAGGGAAGTCTCAGTCTTTAAGGCGGGTCTCCTGCAGCGTGGGCACCCATACGACCAGGTCATTAGCACAGAATCGTCACAGAATGGTAAATAGTACGGCTTCTTTTAGCGCGGAGTGTTTCGGGACCGCCCAAGCCAGTCGAGAGGGAGGCTGAACGGCATCCAAGCTACAGCTGTGGAAGCCGAAGCTGTGGCCAACGAGGGGTGGAACTGAGAAGACATTCTTGAGAAATGGCTCGCTCATTTTGCATGCATGTGCACCATGCTCGAACTCATTGGCACAGCAAGCTGAATAACTTGCAGAGCTGGTGCTTCCGGACACAACTCAAACCGTCTGCATTTGCTTGAGGCTTAGTTTTACATTGGTGGAGGGTCTCGTCTCGGCACCATTCACATGGTTCTCATGCACCAGCACGACGTCTGACATGCGTCGTGCCATCACCGGGTCACCTTCAGCACTCCAGAAGTGAGAAATGCATCACCAGCCGATGAAGCCATCCCGGCACGCCTGTCGTCTCCGAACGCGGCTCTTTGGTCCGGCCCATCCTGGCCGACGAGCATCGTCTCGAAAGTGTGGCTGTCAAGTCGATGAGGGCAGGGAAATGCAGAATCCAAGTGTGAGGGCCAATGTACTTGAGCACACAGCCGACGGCTGCCGCGCCAGACGCACGTTTATCGATGTTCATCTCTCGGGGCGAGTGTCATGAGATGCCACAGTTTCCACCGCGGCTTCTCCTCTCTCTGCACGCAGATGCGCGATCCAGTTTCATCCAGTTGCATGGTGACATCACAGCCAAACAATGACAACGAACTTGGTGTTGAGGTTCACGACAGCTCCGGAATTCAGGATCTGAATCTCAATACAGAGCCGAGAGCAGGTGAAGGATGCAGGCTCATCTCGCAGCTGCTAACCGCTGAGCTTACCGTCCAAGTGTTGGCACGCAGTGTCTGGCTGTGCATTTGCAGAAGGATCTGCAGGGCGCCACCCCAGCCGAACCCCAAACTGCAAGCATCCAGCACTGTACCGTGGCTGATCTTGTCAGCTGCCAGCTTGCTGTGGTTGAGATGACTGAAAATCCTGGTCTGCGGAAAAGAGCAGGAGAGCAGGAATGAAAGGATGTGCGTGACAGGGGAACAAGCTGAGCGCGGGACATCACACTTGATAGCCACGATGCAGGGGATCTGGAGTGGCAAGCGGCGTTGTATGTCACAAGGTCCGGAAGTAGCTGATTCCGCAACACTTCCGAAAAGCATTCCAGGCCCTGTGTCCAACTAGGCTCACATGCACTGATGGATGAGTTGTAGGAGATGATATCCTTGCGGGTCCTGCGCCAACCACACTCAATCGGTGCTTTGAGTGCTGAAGTTTCTGAAATGTTGTTTTCAGGCTGCTGAGGTTTTTGTCTGGAACGTGAACGGGGCTTGCGATGATGCCACAACTTGGACTAAACCTCTCTGGATGCTTACTGCGGCAGCTGGCTAGGATGCACCGGAAGGGAGTCTAAACCACTTGAAGGGTGCATAACGGTATATGGTGTGAGCCGACGAGGCTAGAGGTCTCGCATGTCTATAGAAGCGGCCAGCGATGGCCAGACCAGCAAAGCAATGCAAACGCTTCTGGGCCCGAAAATGGTGCAATGCCAACATTCTCGAAAGTCAAGCTACGAGCATCCCCTGCTTTTGTGCCTGAACACCCCATCAAACAGGGTGCATCTCGTGAGACACGATTCAACTAAGTACTGCAGTATCCGAAAGCGTGTGCTGCACTTTAAGAAATCCGTCCGCAGCTGTGGCCAGCTGCGCAGAATCGCAAGAGCTTGGGGCCACTGCAAGCACTGCTCACATGAACTCAGTACCTGAACGCGGGCGCCCAAACGTGAACCGTTCTGGAACCACGGTAACGAGACTAAATGTGCACGCAGATTCTGCAAAGCCACTGTATTCAATGAGATTTGGCCTCGGTGATGCGGGGGAATGCGTGCTACAAAGCATGGAAGGGTCATGCGACTAACCCTTCCATAACATGCCAGGTGGCTAGGGAGAACTGCTTTTGGCAACAGCCCGGCAATGAGGTTTAACACCTCCTCCCAGTGCCGCTGGCAGGCACAAGCAGCCTGAGCGCGGGCTTTAAGCCAAAAAACTTTTCGGTTAATTCTGATGCTATCGAGATGCCCATTACGGCACAGCGTCCTGTGACGACAGGGCCAAGGTGCCGAGTTCATGCCAATGACATCCAGTGGCTCGTGTCGATGACTTTGTCCGGCTATAGACAGGGCCATCTGCCACGCAGCGTCGCTGGAGCAGGTGTTGAGAGCAGAATTGCAACTGAGCCGGTCCTGATTCTGATCATACATTAAGGGACGTCTGATAACAGACAAGCACGTGCGCAGAAGCATCTGCCCAGCTAAGCGACCAGTGTGGATTTTGCTTTTTGCAAGCCATGTCTCGGGTGCCGTACCCTCGGCCTTCATAGTCTCCAGAATCGCCACTGACGACGACCAGTCGCGGCCACAAGCATCAACTTGGGAATTGAAAGACACAGTGCTGGGCTCCAGGGCCTTGCTGGACAATACCTGCTGGCGGAGGCTGGCCGCGCAAGTTTGGGCAAACCCCGTCTCCTGGCCTCCAGCAAGGCGGAGGCATCACTCCAATTGGCTCTATCTGGCAGCGTGGAAATCGCCACGTTGAAGCCTTGACTCGGGTCTCTCCGTTGCGATGCGAAAGCTAGCTATCCGTGCAGGAATCGCTTGTCCTTGCTGCAAGCGCCGCGCGTGGCTTGAGAGACTTCTGCATCAGCAGCGCACGTTCCGAGGGTGTGTACCATTCTTCGGTCCGGTTTTTTAGACAATTCCAGTTGCTTCTGCTTCCAGACCAACATCTGAAACCTTCAGCACTGAGGCTGAAACTCCTGGCAGTCAACTCGGTGAGGCGAAGAGCCATGCATTCGAGCAGCCCATAGACCTGGGCCAAGGAGTGCTCCATCGGATAACGCTTTGCTTGTCCGGGCCTCTCTCCAACATCGCTTGGCCGCGCATGCGCTGGCTGCCGAGTGATAAGCAATCTGGTGGCAGCGGATCTGCCAGTCCATCATCCCATGCAGAATGTGCAACCTCGCTGTGGCCATTTCATCTCAAAAGTCACACATGTCGATGTCTCGCCAAATGTCCTCTCTGCATCTCCTGCCGTGGTGCGCATCGAGGATTTGCATCTTTCCGCCGCGCCTTGCTTTCGGCTTGCCTTCGCTCCTCTCCATGTCGTAGGCCGGCTGGAGCCGTTTGCCCCTTCTGATCGTCCTACATGTTACACCAGCTCGCATAGAGGAAGTTTGCAGTTGGTATTCTTTGATTACCCCTCTGTCGAACCGAGAGCTGACGAGAACGTACTGGTGCCTTGTGTCCACCGGGCTCCCATCCTACCGTCTGGCTGCACGAGACACGAGATTCACTACATTGCCTTGCTGAGCACAATGTACAGTACCGCTTCCTCCCTCGCACTGGCAGGTTCCACCGAGAGTCGTCGATGGTCTCTTTCTTCCCAGCCGCTTTAGCTGACCCGTTCGCTCTCAAAAGACCGCTCCAGTACGTGGAATGACAAACCCAACAAACTGTAAACCTCAGCAGTACATGCCTCGTAGCAGCTGAAACTCGCTGCAGATCCCTTTACAGCTATTCAGCGACTTCCCTATCCGTAGTGCAGGCCGGCTACGCACGCTTCCACAAGCTGGAGCAAGCGAAAGCATCCGTGGCGGTTCCCACTGTGCTTGCGTCCGGCTGCAAGGCCAGACTTTTCCTGTCAAGCAGCAGATGATGCTCGCACTTGAGGCTGCAAATGTTATAGGTTGAATACACTTAGTGTTCAACCATTGCAGCACCAGTCTTAATCCCACTTGTGTGCAGCAGGTGCTGAACAACGACTGGCACGCAAGGCTTCCGAGTACCAGGCTGGGCCATCAGAACTTGAAGCGCCGCTGGCCAGAGCGCGCATTTCCCACATGCAGATGCCAAAGCATTGTGACAAATCCTTGGGCGAACCGTTTGAACCATTGACATGGAATTCGAATGTGTGTGTGTGTGTGTGTGTCAACACCTGTACCACCCATGTCGTTACGTAACCAGGAAGTTCGTAACATGGCCCCTTAAACCCGCATACACTTTTGTAACGGCCATGAGAAGGTGCAGGCGATACACACCAGTGACATTTGCACGCATTCCACCGTCTTGTAACATCTTCCCATTCACTCACTCACTTTCTCACCCTTTCTTCCTTCTTTTCCTGCTTCCCTCCTCAATGAGCAATGCAAAGAGCCAAAGCATAGTAGCTAGATCTGAACAGAGCGACAGAACCACGGCCACAGAAATTCAATGCCCCAGGCATCCTGAGCCCGGCCACAGGACGCCAAAGGCAGCGGCTTGGATCTATGGATCAGGGTGCCTAACACTTCGAACCTCGAATGCAGCTGCCCAGCCCGACGAGCTGAAACGACGGTGTCCTTTGTAGCTCTCAAACGGCAAGCGGAGTCGGGGTCCACGATGTCAAAGACAATAAAACGTCAGGGCTGCACCGAATCTCGCAAACTCACTCACTCATCATGCACATGCTTCTAGCACACCGCCCTTCTCTCGTTCTTCTACGGGCATTACCGGTTACCTGTCGGTGGCAACCCTCCTGACCTTTACGCGCGGCGGCTTCGCGTCCAGCCGCAAACGGGGTTCTCTTGGCTCTCCTCTTCGATCTTCTGGTGCAACCCTCCCCGACCAATGCGTTGTGCCAGGAATCACACTCGGTGGTAAAGCACGGCTCCCAGTAGCCAGCAAAAGAGACCGCTGCCACTGAAGACCTGCAAGGGCAGAACCAAAGCGGTTTTTTGGACCAAAGCCGTTTGGGGGCTCGGCCTTGCTGCAGCGCGGCTGCAGCCGATGTCATGATGATGGAGTTGGAGCGAAGCCCACAGAGAAGCAAGGCATCGCTCAAAGCCAATGCATGGTGCCAGCCGTGCTTCACACTTGCGAGAGCAGCACCATAGCCTCGGAAGGCGACTTGTGCTAGGACCGGGCCACGGTCATGCAAGCTGCCGCATGGCAAACTTCCGAGGGACGAGCTGATGGCTGTGGCTTCGACCGATGCAGCACGAAAGTTCTTGAGCAAAGCCCATGCCGACGACCAGGCCGCCACTGAGGCGCATGCCGAAATAACAATGTTGCGGTGTATTACATTCGCCTGCACGAAGAAGTGTTGCGCAATTTGGTGGACGAGAAATGTTTGGTTCTGCCATCAGCTGCACCGGAAAGGCCTCAATTGTGTTGTGCAGCATGTTTTGCAAGCCAGAAATGGCAGCCCAAGCTCCTGCACAGAACTGCTCGGTGCACTCACGGCTTGCAAGGCCCGCGTTATTTAACGGCCTTGCATCTTGATGTGGTGCCGCAGCCATCGGGTTGCTTCGCGACCATCGGCCAGTGGCTCCCCACCGAGGGCTGCCGGCATGGCGAGTCGTTGAAGCGTTGGGAGCAACCGGGAGACGAAAAGTGCGCAGTTCCTGCCAATCTTCGCAGAGCCCATCCTCGCACTTTCCAGGTCTTGAAAAGTTAGGACGATGTCTGAAGCCACATAAACTTGACTGCCGAGTCTAAGGCTGAGGATAGCTAGCGCGCAAGCAGGATACATCCAGGATACCACACCGTGCCTGCGTCAATAAAACAGGCTTGCGGCCGGGCAAAGATAAGCTGATTCATTCAAGTCAAGGGTCACAGTCACAGGCGACATTTTTGACGGACATTAGCTTTCTGTTACTGTTACTTCTTCCTGTCTGCTTTCGGTTTCAGCCGTGGCTGCAGAGGTTGCGCACAAGCAGGCCTTTTCTTAGGAGCAGCATGTTCTGGCATGCGCAAGTGTTCGACACTATCTCCCAGGTCATTGTCGCAGACTGTCTGGGCCATGGCACTTTGGCTCTTGGAGCAAAAGCCCGTCACATCAGCTGGAAAATCTCCATCAAACACATTAACAGGTTCAACAACATGCTATTCACATCTATTGGCGAATATACTTGATATTGTAAAATAGCATCAGGATGTGCACTTCAGCTGCTGCTACATCATCATTGACGTCACAGAGCATGTGCACTACTTGGGCTGACTCTTCACTCGATGGATGACAACCGTTCACCGCACGACCCCGAGTCTTCGGTCCGCAATCGACAACTTTCTCCGTCTCCTTCTTAGCCAACAGCACATCCATGGCTTTGCGTGAATACCCTGGATGGGTCGGCTACATGTTGTCCCAGCTCTCTTGACTCGGGCTCATGCCCAGGTTCTTGAGTTGTCGAGGCCGCTTGCAGATTTGCGGCTCGACTTGACTTTCACGGCAGCCCCACGCACTTGGCAAATCGGGCAGCAGGTATGCAGGTGCAGACAGGCTTGTCACACGAACGAACTTAGTAATTTCAATGAGGGAATTATGCAGAAGCATGAAAAGAAGATATGCCAGCCTGTCTGCAGTGAAACAAGAGAGGCAGTTCGAAGCATGCCTACAAGCGCGACTACTGTGTCAAAGGCGCTGGGCCTTGCCCACAATGTGCACTTCAGGCGTGAACAAAGAGTAGCTGCAGGTTGCATCGGGTCGCACTTCATGTGCTGGTCAAATCAAAAAAAAGGTGTGATAGTCTTACTCTCAACGATTCGACTGGAAGTTTCCATTTAGGTGCAGATAGTCTGCAGCCCCACTCGCGCGGGTTCTACATCGCCGAGTCTTTAGCACCGGCGCTTGCCAAAAACTGGAAAGTGTCTGTAGCTACGCAGGTGCAACGCTTGCAAAGCAATCATTGAAGCATCTGCCTAACCTTTTGCTGGCATTTTGCAGAGCGCAAGCCCTCTTTGGGGGCTTGTCGCCTGGGCGAAGCGGCATGTCAATTTGAAAGACATCACAACTCGCTAAGGTCTCGACATGACGAAGCGCTCACCAAGTGGCACAGGTTTCACTGCGAGCTTCATGCTTGCGAAGGTTCGGCATCGTCACCTTCCCACTTCACAAACTTGTCGTCGTGCCAGAAGCCGACCTCTCATGTGGTCGCGCGAAGCTGTGTCCGGTTCCTCACCGTCTGAGGCTTTACAGGTTGCGAAAAGGAGTGTGCGCCCTATTCATTTTTTCCAGGAGTATACTGCTCAACCGATAGGTTGCTGAGCATCTTGTTCGTACATGTTTGTACTGGTGATGGGTCGCACAGTGCCACATGCTTTTCCTGCAAGCTCCATTTCATTTCGGTGCCTTCGATTGCTGCCTTCCATCTAAGGGTACACTCTTGCGCTGGTTTCCAATTTTCTTCTTGTGTTGGCCACGTGCCCGGCGTGGACAAGCAGTCGACTGCTGTGACTGCAAACACCCCACTCCGGTTTTTGAAGTTTGCACACCCTTTTACTTGCCTGTCTGTGCAGCACACGTGAAGCAACACTCTAGCATTCCGAGGTGGTTGCGCCAACAGCCCCATAGATGGGATGGGGGCAGCAACCATCAACAGTCAGCTTATTTCGGCAGTCAGAGACCCCGCCTTCTGCTTTCCAGTGGACCTGAATTTTTGGCGACAGAACTCCAATCCACTCTACTTGTGCCGATGAACTGGGCTAGGCTGCACGGCACAGCTCGTCACTGCACAGCGATGCAGACTGCTTGAATCACAACGTCTTCATGTCGCGCAAGCCTTGCGAAGGCACTAGCAACACTGAGGAAGGCGCGTGATGAAGGTCGCCTTTCCATGTCGCTTTCCGTTCTGCCATCCGCCCTCATAAACCTGAGGTGACAGGAAGCTATAGCAATCATAGAGACAAACTGCTGTAGGCTCTTAAGCAGAGATGCGTTTCCATTTGGCCACGTGAACTTGCCCGAGCCGTGCTTAGCATCATCCAAGTAGTCTCCTGTGCTACGGTGTGCAACTTGTGCGGAATCATAAACCTCTCGGCAAATGGCATTCTGTGTAGGGGCAGAACGCTGAAATTTGGATATTACACGTGGCTCTAAGTCAGTGTGTCCGGTGACAATCATGTTCACGAGGCTTCACAAGCTGCCGGTCCTTCGTAGATCATAGTGCCCTACCAGGGGGTGTCATAGATGAAAGAACATCGCTGGAAGTTCGACTTGGGCTAAGAATGCTTTCTCAACATGCTCTGTCGCCCGCCTTGTCTGTCCTCCAAACCTCCAGCACCAGAGCACTAGTATCCATCAAGGCGGGACTGTTTGCTGACTGGGGACTGTCGACAGTCTTCCGTGCTTCCCAGGCAAGCACTCGACAGGCAAATCATTTGACAGGCTTCGACTCAGACTCAATATTTTGCTGTATCGCTGCATGTCAAGAGGCCATCTTTCCCTTTCCGGAGAAACGTCCGTTCCTGTCTTCCCATCTCTCACGAGCTACATTCTATCGCACCAGAACGGCAAGACTCGACTTCTATCTGACAACATAAGATCCAGTGCGTGCCAAGTCTCACATACTGGCCTTCGTATGATCGTCCATCACTCCATGTGTGCTTGCCATCTCCATTCTGCTTGTCCTCGCGGTGGCCGAGAGCAAGAGAGCTTGCTGCGAACATGTGGCATGCCCGAGTCACAACAAATCTGCCATCTCGCTGGGTGCCCGACATCTTTCCACTGACCTTCGTACCTGCTGCAAATCGCCATCAAGATTGTTTATGTGAGGTTGCTGCGCGATGCACATGCACGCGCGAATTGCTTGTGGTGCCACAGGCTCTTAAAACAAATCGGACGCAACTCAGCACCAGGCGTCTCGGTGGGACTTTTGTATGCTCCTCGGAAGCATAAGGTCATAGGTCAGCGGTACTTTGAACAAGTGAATAAGCCGTTTCCTGACATTTTCCAACAAAGCTGGTCTCAGTGGTGCTGTTGGTGTGCGTGTCTGTATGAGGAACTAGATTTATGCAGATCCTGTGTATCCACATGTTTGCTCTCAAGGGTTTTGGTTCTGTGTGTGTGTGTGTGCGTATGTAAATATAAATATAAATATAAATATATATATATATATATATACATACGTGATGGTGATAGTAATGATGATGCTTATGTTTTGGTTGTTGCCTTTTTAGCCCTGCCCCGTGTCACTACTTTAGGTTTCGCATTGTTTCGCTAAAACAGAGCATCGCAGATCTGCAGGCAGATGCAGGCTAATGCCGGCACCTGACCAGGCAGGTACTTGTACGTGACGACTTTAACTAGCTCGAAGGAGTAGGCAGCTCGCATCGGCAGACATCAGTGCGCTAAGTTCAGTTCGCACCACCGAATCCTTGGCCCAAGCCATAGTGAGTGCCTTTGCTATGACTAGTGCCGCTGTTGCGTTAGGTCTCCGCCGTTGTGTTATCAGGGAAGCGGCGTGGTTGTTCAAGCTGATGCATGCCGCAACAGCAGCTGCTGATCTTTTGCGATGCAAAACACATTCCGCTTTCGGAATTTGATGGCGTGGGTGCCGTGCAACCGAGAAGCCATATCCGTCACGCTTGCCGTCCACGACTCCTCCTGCCAAGAGTCGTGATGAGTGAAGAGATATGAAGAAAGCCGGAATCTTGTAGCAATCCACGCGCAGAAAAGGTTCTGATGTGTATGATCATGTGGGCTATGCCTGTGTAGGTCGCATCATCTTTGAAGTTCAGTGTTGCCTTAGAGGTGCTCTGGCCATGGCCCGGCCGGTGCTCACGTAAGGCTTGCTGAGCAGGCGCAGCTACGCAGAAACATGAGGACATGTATTGCTGCCCAGGAACCTGTTCACTTGCTTTCGCCTGCAATCGGACAAGACACGACTGTTCATCTGAACTCTCGCTCTCGCTCTTTCTCTCTCTCCCAGGCATTCGACAATCTGAACTACGACCCTACGAGCCGAATCTTGATAGTCGCGCTCCAGACGTTCAAACCCAGCACGAAGCATCGGAGCTTGTGCAACTCGTGGCCATTTTCTATACATGCTCCAAAAAAAGCCACGGAAACAGGGGTCAACTGTGCGTTTGCGTCCCTTCAAGTTAGCACCCGAAAACAAGCCAGGATGGAAAGAGGTTTCACATGTGCAGCTCCATCAAGACTGTTCTTTTGACCGGAAAGTACTGGAAGTGTTGAAGTGTCGCGGCTTCTTGCCTGAGAATGCAAACATGGCAGGGAGGGGTTGTTGGCAAAAATCGCGAACTATGCGGGGCGTGGACATGCCACTGAGGTCGGTCAGAGGTGTGTTTTTGCGTGCCGTCCGGCATCGTTCCTGCATATCGCGGAATCCATGGTGCTGCGTGGTCCTGACTAGCTGCCGCTCTCAATGACCGGCCGAATTTTGAAGAATTTTCTGAGCAAGCGGCATTACTTTCGTAGCTAACCTCGCCATTTTCAAGATAAGCGGCTTAAGGAGTGGGATGGATCTACAGTGTATACATTGTGCGCGCAGTGGGTGCCCTATTCAGGAATGCGGATGTAGCCGCTTATCGCCCAGCATGCTCTCCTGTCCCTTTTCTCCCGGACCAGCTTGCAGAGTCGCACGGCAAGGGACATATGGGGTTCACACCCAAGCCTTGCTGGAGCTTCCACACAAACTAAACACAATTCAGCAGCCCACGACTGAGATGGCTAGCGTGGGGTTGCACTTTTCTGGCCACTGATCAGAAACAGGGGTTTCCGACATGCAAGCTGTCTTTGGAACTGCTTGTCGTGCAGGTGTTGGGACGAATTCAATTCATTTATAAACTCTGAGAGGTGCGGAGCCCCGCCGCTCGAGGAAGGGCCCAGAGGATCCTTGCAATCTACAGCCCGGGGCTCCAAACCTTCTCATGATAACAATAGCAACAGCTACATTTCTTGCCTCTTGCATTGCAGAATGATCGCGAAGCAAAGATATAGTAGTCGTATGTAGTCGTAATAGTAAGAGTATTTAATCGTACCAATACTCGTAGTCTCGTAGTAGTAATGACAACAAGAATGATGGTAATTTTGTCACCCACCTGGCACGCCTATGATAATGACAGGAATGTTAACCACAAGCTTGGGGCTGAGAGCCTTTTCTGAGGTTTAGCATTTGGGCTGGGGCTTCGAGCTCGGTGCTTTGGGTTTGCAGCGAGTTTAAGGCTTCAAGTTCGGGTGTGGTCTTGGGGTGCGAGTGTGGCAACACTGCGCTGTGGCCACTAAGCTGCGGAGACTACATACAAATGCGAGGGATCAACCAAAACTCTACCAACGTGGCAACCCATCCGTACCCACAGTGGGCGAGCTCGTGCTTGCCTCTGGCTATGCACAAGGAAAAACCTTTGCAAACATTGACTGGCCTTGTTGGGGTTTTCTTCTGCGCTCGGCGCACGCTTCCTCGGTACATGGCTGAAGCGGCTAAGTCGCCAGAGTAACCGTAAACACTCGCAAAGATCTGCCGTGCCATGGCATAGCATGGGGTGTAAGCCCCAAGCGTTTCCGCAACCTCCTCTGTTCCCGCCAGACCACTCCCTTCAAGTGGCTGAATGGAAACGTCGTTACCTGAGAACCATGATCTGCCATCACACCACGCCGACACGCTTGACTCAAGGCTCCACATAACTCTACATAATTACGACTTGCACCACGCATGGAATGAGAATGCCCGATCCTGCTTCGTCTTTGTCGCCACAGCAGGCAGCACATTTCGATTGGCCCACACCCATGATGCCTGGGCGTCGCATGCAGCAGCATTTTGAAGGTTGGCGGCCAGAACGAACACAAAGCTGAACGAACCTCTGAATGCCACGCAGCAGCGTACGGTGAGGGAGTTGCGCACAACTCTGGAATGATGCTTGAGCTGGACGTAGCATCATTAAAAAAACAGACCATGGGCAAACTTACGTGCAGTTGCACAATGGACTCTAGTCAGATGCCACTCTTCCCACGAAGATGCGGAAGTGAAGCGGTGAAGATAGAAATTGCATGTGGTTGTCGGGTTTCGTCGGTTTTGTAGATTTGGCAGACATTTGTTATCGTTTTGTTGTTTTTTGGCCGCCCCATTTCCCACGCCGCAGTGCGTCGACAAGCACCGTTCAGGAGATTCAGGAGGTTGGCTTCCAGCCTGATACAGAAAGTTCTGCATTTGGCACATCACGTGGATGCAGGGTTGGGTGTGTGGACCTCATCCCACCCGTCTTGTTCTAACATGTCCTAACCGCAAATTCCACATGCGGCGGGCGCGCCGATCTGTTTACCCGCCCGGAGCACTTGTCATATCTCCTGCGTTCGGCGATATTCGACTTCAAAAGCCAATTAAAGCTAGAAACAATGGAAAAACGCTGTTCGTTTACGATCTCGGGATCCAACCGTTGCCGCCTACATCGCATCCTTTCTTTTTTCGCGGACCTGTGCTGTGGAGAACTCTATCTCCCACTTCTCCGAGCTATACGGCCACAAAGGCGAGCCACTCGTGTCCACAGTTTCGTCGCCGGGAGCCAGCTCCAGCCTAGGTTGCCGATGCATCGGCACTGGTCGCAGGCGGCTCACTCCTCGACAGGAAAAGCTCGCAAGCGCGGCATGCGGCATGCCTGGCCTGTGGCGTGTTGCGCCTTTTCCTGGTGAGCCAAGCTGCAAGGCCGCACAGCGGTTGCAACCGAGGCTACGCAGGGCCGCCTACAATATGTGTTGGTTGCGCAGGAAACTTAAGCCTTGCACGGGCACCAACGGGCACCATGCAGGCTCGAACTCGTGGTCTCGTTGAGGCATGTCGCTGCCAATCGTTGCTGATTTTGCGTTTCGATTCGGAGTTGCCGACGACTCAGCTTCACAACCCCGCATGCGACCTCCTCTTGGTTTGACACGCACAGCACATGGCCTCTTTGCACCTGTGGCTGTGAGTTCGCCGTGGTCTTTGCCTTGTGAAAGGGGGTCGCATGCGTTGGATGCAAATGACGCCCATCGAGCCTGATGCGAGAACCGACTGCCGAGCTCAAGGACTTTGTGCTGAGACCCAAGTTATCAGGATAGTGGCTGCAGAGGGCCAGGTGGGTTTCAATGAATCGGCGACCGTGCATTGCGACGCAACCGAGATATAGGGACTCCGCCGGTGTACACACGCCGCCTCGGCAAAGGCACGCAGGCGCATTGGAGGCCCGCGCTCGTAGCACACGACCAAGCAAGGCCACCTCGAACCTCGGGTCCAAAAAGCTGCGAAGAGACATCGAGGGCTGCGGTCTAGATATAGGTTTGCCGATCCCGACGACAACCAGACGGCTGCGTCGGGCGTGACTAAGTTCGGGGCCAGGGTATGTATGGTCACGCGCTCCGCAGCCCCCCCCCCCTCCCCCCCCAAAGGTCAATGGTCCGGATATAGGGTGGGGCCCCCCCCCTCCCCTGTGGTGTGGGGTGTGGGGTTCCTCTTCCCCCTGTGGGGTGGTTGTGGGGTTTTGGGGTTTGGGGTTTAGCTTAAGCTATTGAATTTTGGGTTTACGGTTATAAGGTATAAAGCTTCGAGTCGACAAGGGCTTAGGGAGGATTTGCGGTGTATGCTCTGCTTTAGGCTTAGAGCCTGCAGTTTTTTTTGGTTTTTTTTCGGCGCACCTTTTTGCGACGGCAGAACGTGTCCGGTCGACCTAGAGTAGTTTGATGACCTACCGTTGCCTACCACTGAAGAGGGTGCACTCAAGGCACCACACTGCAGCTAGCGTGGGGGCAAGCGGCTTGCCGGGACCTCCTGGAGCCACCTGGCGTCAGCGAGGACCTCATGCAGGTCGGGCTCAGTGCCCTCGCTGAGCTCGGCAGCAGGAGGGAGTTCAAGCAGCGAGGCAGCGTACGCTCGCTGCGCGGCGACTGCAAGGAGGCCAGACCAGCGCGCTACCCAGGCGTTGATGGCGGTCGGGCGGAGGTGGGCAGGGACGGCTTCGGCTCGCTGGCGCGCCAGGAGTCGGAGCAACTGGGCAGCCTCAGCGCCGAACCTGCCTCCAACCTCGACACCAACTACAACGTCGGCACCGGGCGAGCTCGGGGTAGGTGTCCCGGCGTTTACGCCTGGCGGCAGCCTCGACTGCATAGCCCGGCTGCACATCGGCTCGCGGATGGGCTTCGCCTCGCCTTGTAAGCGGGGAGACGATGGTGGCGTCGAGTGCGAGCTGGGAGCCGTGCCAGAGAGGGAGGCCGTTGGCGACGACCTCGATGCGCCTTTCATCACCGACTGGCGCGTCGAGGTTGATGTGGGCGAGGCGCACATTCCTCGCGACCCGCGCCCCAGCCTCGCGGCAAACTCGGGCGACAGCGTGCTCGAGCGGGAGAGCTCGGCTAGCAAGCACGCCGGATGTGGCGCACGCGGACCGGTGGTCGCCAAGCGGGTCGAGCAGTCCATGGCAGCGGCAGTGGCGAGGCGCGAGTGGCAAGGGCAGGCGCAGGCGCCGGAGGAGCAGCACCCGGAACAGGGCACTGGGGAGGGTGAGATCATACCGCGTCGGCAAGGCGGTGATGCGACAGCAGCAATGCGCGAGATGCAGGTGCTTTCTCCGAAGGAGAGACAGCCTCTGAAGAGTCATGTCTTGTGCAGGTTCCGACATGCAGCTCGCCCACTCTTTCTCCTGGCTGCGCTTCCTCTCGAGGGATCCCTTCAGCCTTGTGGCTTTTAGAAAGCCATGGAAGCTACGCGTTGAGCCGTGTGAGGGCTCGCAGGAAAAGACCGCGCTGCGGAACGAGTGCTGTGCTGGTGCGCTTGGAAGCAGTGCTTTGTGGTTTCAGCTCTAGGAGCTGTCGTGCTACCAACATTGGTAGCGGAGCCTGCCCTGAGAAGGGTAAGGCTCGTGCGAGAAAGGAGAGCTGCGAAGATCCAGGGCATTGTGCTGCCCCCCTCCGTTTTTCCGAGAAGGCTGATGGAACGCGGCGGCCGTGATCAAGTTCCTTCCTGGGATGGTGAAGCTGCAGGTTGGAACACCTATGTGAGAAGGGTGAGGCTCTACTGGGAGCGCACGCCGTCGAAGAAGCGGAAGCTTGTCGGAGCTGAGTTGGCCAGCCGGCTGTCAGGACGCGCCTGGGATGTGAGTGGCGATCTTGATCACGCCCGGCTTCAGGGGCGTGAAGGTGCTACCTATCTTCTTGAGTACCTGGAGACTCGCCTGGGCCGCTCGGCAATTCCCGACCTGGGAACTCGCCTGGAGGACTTCCTTGTCCGTCTTAGGCGGCAGCCTGGCTCTCGGATGGTTCAATGGACGACGGATCCAGCGTGCGCTGGCTAGGGCCCGAGGATCTCCGAAGAAGACCACCACCGGGTCGCCAAGGAGGGCGGCACCAGCCACGTCGCCTCCGGCATCGAGCTCTGGCCTCCCCATCAAAAACAGGCGGAGCGACACCACTGGGGAGCCCGAGCCGCAAGCTGATGAAGAGGTGCACCCGATCAACCCGCTTGAGGACCCACCGGTCGCGAGCGAGCGCAGCCATCGTGGTGACCAAGGCTGGACTGCGGCTGAGTGGGAGGACTGGTGGAATGGGCAAGGCCAGCATGGTTGGAGCTCGCCCGGCCGGCGACACTTTGGTGGTTAGTGGCGTCGGGAGGACAGCGATGAGGACGATGAGCCGGAGCCCGAGTGGGAGCGCTTCCAGCTGGAGGAGGTCGATGCCTTGCCCCAGGAAGTCCTGGGATGGATCCTCCTTCGTCGTGCTCACCTTCCTTCGCATGCTCGGCTGTCCGTCCTCGCCGCCACCAACAACAAGCTGGACCTTGACCTCATCGAGAAGGCCCTTCGCGACCAGGAGGAGGACCTTCTTCAAGCAGAAGAACGCCGTGGGCCTCGTCGTACTTACTGGGTTGAGCAGGAAGGCTCGTGGGGTCTGCTTCTTGACGACCTCCCGGCTGACGACTCCCAAGGGAATGTGCATTGGGTCGGCGAGCGCTTGCCCGAGGAAGTGCATCCGGTCTTCTCGGCTGAGGAGGAACCGGAAACGTGGTGCAGTATGCATGGCGACGCTGAGGTGTACTGGAGCTACCTTGACGGAGACTGGTGGACCGAAGATCCGGAAGGTGTCTGGTGGAACTGGTCGGACGCCAAGCCGTGGTTTGAGGTGAATGAGGCCATGGCTGTGGACCCGGCGGTCGGCAAGGAGCTCCAGGAAGCCTTGACCCTCTACCAGGATAAGGTGCGATCGTTCAAAGAATCCCGGCAACTGGTGGCTGCTAGGAACACGGCCCGTGGCTTCTACCCGCTGAACCCCAAGGGCAAGGGCAAGAGCAAAGGAAAAGGCAAAGGGCCGTTCGGCGGAAAAGGAAAAGGGAAAGGAAAGAAAGGGCCAAACACCCCGGCTTCTTCGACTTCTTCCCCTTCGGCGGCCATGGCGGCAGATGGCGGGCAGAAGCCCGGAAGCTCCTCGTACACGGGGTGCTTCATATGTGGTGCTAAGGACCATGATTTTCGTCGGTGTCCGAAGCGCGGTTCCGGAAAAGGGGCCGGAGCTGCCCACCTGTTGAGCGACAGCCCGTGGAGCGAGGCGCCGACCTTCATGGTGATGCCCGGTGATGACGCCGCTGAGCCGGGATCCAGTGCTGAGGCCTTTGCTGTGCAGGGGAACACCCAGATCACCGAGCAGGCCGAGATGCCATTGTGCTATATGCACGTGATTGCCGGCAACCCCCAGGACGACTTCGCCTTCGGCAACTTCCAGATGGAGGCGGCTATGTCTGTGACCGGCCAGTTACACCCAGGGTTCGCTGTGATCGACAGCGGGGCCACGGAGACGGTTGGCAGCCTTGATGCCATCGAAGCTGTGGTGGCGATGCGCCGCCAACGCTATGGAATGGAGAGCGTCCGAGTGTACCCGGAAGCCCGCCGAAGCTTTCGCTTTGGCAACGCCCAGCAGGAGACCGCCACTTCCTATGTAGAGGTTCCTCAGACCCTGGGCGGCAATGCTATCTCCCTCGGTGTCTTTGCGCTTGACGTGCCCCGCATCCCGATCCTCTTGAGCATTCGGACTTTGAAGAAGCTAGGTGCTGAGATCAACTTCCAACGCAAGACCATAGTGTTCAAGGCCGTTGACCCTGGAGTTACCATAGGCCTCCAGGAGAGTGCGTCAGGTCACCTTTTGCTAGATCTGGCGCACGATTGGTTGCGCACACCCGGTGCCGGCCAAAGTTTCTCCGGAACCGTCTTGAGCCAGGTCTTGTCCGGATATAAGGAGGGCGCGGGACATGTGCAGCAACCTGAGCCTGGGGGCCCCGACAGCGAGAACTTCGGCGTCTTCACACAACAGCCTCCGGAACCCCAACTTCCTGAACAAGCACCCGGTCACGAACACCCTCCTTTGCAGAGTGCCTTGCTGTCTTCCAGTGGTGCAAGTGTGTGTGAGCATGCTTTAGCAGACAGACATGTTGCTTTCGAGAGTGTGCCTCCTGAAGTCCCGAGTCATGTGCCAATTTTCGATATGACTGCTGCCGACGAGACCTCTCGAGAGTCGATGGGGACACTGCTGTCCCAACAATCCCCCCGTCAACTTCCTCTTCGTGATCATGGCGTCGGCTCCTGGACACACTCCGGGCGAGAGCAGCGCCTCGGCACCGAAGGGTGCCCCAAAGACCAAGGCAAAGGCGAAGGAGAAGGTAAAGACCGAGTACGATGTGTCAAGAGCAGTTGGGCCGGATCCCCGCGATCCAAGGACAGCCGGGCCGCCGTGCAACGGGAACCACGTTCCGATGGCAGCCGGCCGCGGGAGCCTGTCGGAGTCGGGGGCCAATGCGCACGGCCGCTGGGAAGTGTGCAAGGAGTGCCGCCTGCGACTCCTTTATGTGCCGGCCTTTGGCGCTCACGCTCATTACCGCCAGGCTGGACCGTTGCCAGTGGACGCGAAGAAGGCAGTGGAGATCATGGAGGAGCGTGTTGCAGCCGGGAAGCCGGCGGCCAAGGAGACCTTGAATGCCAAGGCGGTGGCGCTCCAGGGGGCGGAGGATTCTCTTCTACGACGCCTCGAGACCGTCCGCTCTCAGAAGGCCCAGGCCCTTGGGAAGGCGAGCAGCGAGAAGGAGAAGGACGGCGGCTACCCGAAGGACGTTCGCGCCGGCGACCTCAACGACAAGCCGAAGGACCGCGGGGCCCGACCAAAGGTGAAGGCAGCAGCTCAGGCGGTAAGCTCCGACTCGGGAATGAGTGCCAAGGACGATCCACAGCGTGTGCCAAAGAAGAGTGTCAAGCGGAACAATCCCAAGGCTGCCGAGGAACAGGAAGCGCTGACCAATGCCGAGGCGGAGACGTGGACCAAGGTCAATCCCCCGAGCCCGGGGGCCTGATCATCGATGACGAGGGCTTCCTTGCGGCCGAGGGCAGCCTTCAGAACGACCAGGCCGCAACGATCCGCGAGTCCATGAAGGAGATCCTTGCGGGCTTTGATCATGATGTGGCTGATCTGCCAAAGCACCGGTCTGGGGTGCATGTGCTCGAGGTCGGAACTTCCGGAGCGAGTGGCCTTCGAAATGCTGTTGAAGATCGACACGGAACCTCAGCGAGGATGAGCCCCTTCGAGTACGACTTTGGACGGAAGGCCGGTGTGGAGCAAGCTTTGGAAGCAGCCAGGGCTCGTTCTCCGGCTTTGTTGTGGGTTTCAGTTCCGTGTGGAGCCCTTGAGCAGCCTGAGGACAGTGTACCGGAAGGGCCCGACGATTCCCAAAGGACTCACCTGCATCGCAGAAGGAGGTGCCGCAAAGTCTTCAAGACCGCCCTTAGGCTTGCTGAGGACCAGGTGCGCCGTGGTGCCCACATGGCATGGGAATGGCCTAAGGACAGTCTGGCTTGGAAGGAGCCCGAGATGAAGGGCTTCATGGCGAAGCTTGCGAAACGAGGGCACCTACATGTGGCCATCTTTCTTGACGAGGCAGCCGGGAAGAAATGGCAGATTGTGTCGACGAGCCCCGACCTTCGCAGATCAATTGTGTATGCGCAGGAGGGCTTGTCATCCAGGAGATCTGCGGCTGCTATGTCCCGGTCCTTGTCGGTTTCTTCGAGATATCCTCCCAAGTTGTGCCGGGCCGTTGCCGAGTTTGCCCTACAGGCCGATCACCTTGGTGGCGCAGCAGCAGAAGCCCAGGCCTTTGGACTGAGTGACGAACCGCTCCTTGAGTCAAAGCTGGACCCCGCTGACCGCAAGCGGGCAGAGGCACTGGTTCATCGACTTCATGTTCGTGCCGGGCATCCCTCTGGCAAAACTCTGGCAAAGGTGCTGCGTGCCCGGGGAGCCCACCACGAGGTCATCAAGATTGCCATGGAACATACATGCCCAGACTGCCAAGAGATGCGCCTCCCGGACCTTTCTCCTAGCGTCTCTCTCCAGCAAAGTGAGGTGCCATGGAAGGTGATCCAGATCGACAACGCCGAGATCAGGGTCGATGACACGGTGACCCACTTTATGCTGATCACCGACGAGGCCACCCACTTCACTGTCGTTGCTAAGCTCTTTGACCGGCACTACCAGGACGGCAGGAATGCGACTGCGGAGGAGGCCATCCTGGCAATTGAGCAGCACTGGACCCAGGCTTATGGATTTCCCGATCGGCTTCGATGTGATCCCGAGGGGTGCTTCCGCTCGAAGCTCTTAGAAGCCTGGGCGGCCGACATTGGCATTGAGGTGACGCCGTGCCCTGCGGAGGCACATCACCAGATTGGCCAGGTGGAGTCTTTGGTGAGGAAGATGAAACAGGATGCCACGACCCTTCTTGCTGGCCATCCTGTGGGCGCTCACCGTGCTCTTCTTCATTGCGCCGCGGCCCACAACACAGTGCACAGGGTGCAGGGCTTTAGCCCGGCCCAATGGGCTTTTGGGCGCGACTTTGGAGTTGATGGGCGTCTGTTTGAGAGCGAGCAAGGCCTCCCCCTGTTGCAGAACGCCGTGGAATCAGGACACAGCTTCCATGACCACATGGCTGTGCGAACGGCGGCGGAGGACATATACCGGAAATCCCAGGCATCCTATCAACTGGGGCGGCTCTTGAATATGAAGTCGCGCAGGAAGGTGCAGTTCATTCCGGGCGACCTGGTGTTTTATCGTCGTGTGCAGCCTCCAGCAGACACGCCCGCACATCCAGGCCTTGGGTTTGCAAAAGTTGGTCAGGGCAGATGGTTCGGGCCGGGACGTGTGTTGGCGACTGAGACTCGGAGCGACGCTCAAGGAATGGTCCGAAAGCCATCCCAGACTGTGTGGGTCATTTCAAATGGCCGTCTCAAGCGATGCAGCCCTGACCAGCTTCGGCATGCATCCGAAAGAGAAGCTGCGATTGCTGAGGCTACCGATGCTGCGACGCCACCGTGGACCTTTCATAGCTTGCTGCAGACCTTGGAAGGCACCGGCTTCGAGACCTTCGACGACTATGTGTTCCCGGAGGACATTGGGTCTCTGCCTCATGTGTCCAGGGGTCGCTCCAGAGCAAGGTCACGGGAGCCAGCCACCGCGAGAAATGAGGGCACAGAGAAGCAAGTACGAAGTGCCCAGAATCCAATCCCTCGCACTCCTGCCGGTTCCCGTGGTGTGTCAGTAGATGATAGACAGGGCGCAGAGAAGCGAGAACGAAGTGCCCAGAATCCAGTTCCTCGCACTCCTGGTGGTCCCCCGGCGGCCTTGCCGACAGTTGATCCTCAGCGGTATCTTGGTGACCCCACATACTTCTAAGGGCGGGGTGGTTATAAATGATTACAGTGCTTAGCATGGTTAAGTATCTTGTGCAACCATGGTTATTATCATGGCTAAGTTGTTGTTAGTATACTTATAAGTAGGCTATGTTGCAGCAGTGGAGATGGCTTGTTTAGTAAATGGACGGGGTCATTTAACAATCAGATGTTGTTGCTTGTAAGTGATTAGACAGGATAGACAAGATATGGATATTTTACTTAGCCAAGTTAGCATACTTAATGCTAACTGAGGTCGTGCCATTTAGCACAATTAAGTAAACAGGCCAAGTGTGCTTAGGTGCTGTTCTTTTTGGTATATGTATCGATGCTCGCGGGCAGTATATTTTCGCCTGCAGGGCAATAAAGCTTTAATTCCACAGGCAGCCATGCCAGCAAACACTATATTTTTTTTCATAAGATGCATGCATGCTCGCAGGCAGTATATACTTATATATAGTCGCCTGCAGGGCAAGAAGGGCAAGAAAACCATCATGTGACCATGTGTATATACCGACGAAGTTTCTCTGCTCGAGAACTCAGTGTACTTCTAGGTGGAACAAAGTGCAATGGCGCTGTCGCCTGAAGTTTACGGGGAAATCGCAGCCCTACTGCGGAAGACAGAGGGAGGCGAGTTCCTTGTGAAGTCGGTCGCCGACCTCTTCGTCGTTCTTCGCCGCTCTGGTTTGTTGACAGAGATGCGTATACCCCCACTTTCAGTGGGGGTTCACCCGCAGAACCGGGACGGGTTGATGTTGAATGCGGGCGACGTACACCAGCTCCTCGACAGCATCGCTCAGGTGGGCTTTGTGCCTGCCCGTGTGGATGCCATGCATCGAGATAGGCTCGGACGACCACCGCATCTACAACCAACGAATGGTTGATGGTGCCGGTGGCTCGCTTGGTACCATGGACAGCAAACTCCTCAAAGTACTCAGCCTGTCAGCATCTCATACTAACTTTGCCCTCAGACTGGTGGCATGTTCGGCTCGCCACGAGTCGACAGAGCTTTCTGTGAATGGGATGCTAAGCCTTCAGCAAGTCAGGGCTCGAGATGCAGCCCTGGCAGAACACGTGGAGCTTGGGCTTACTTGGCGAGTCATTTCCAAAGAAGTCGGCGAGGCTTTTCCCAGCATTGTCCAGCTCGTTCAAGCATCACAGAATGCGACATTGCAGAAGAGTGAGAGTGAACTCCAGCTTCTTCGCCGCATCTTCTCTTTGGCAAGCCGTGAAAGCTCCCCGGACTTCCAGAACATCAAGAAGGTGGCCCTGAGCTCGAAGCCACCGTGTGGCGATTGCTTTCCGGCTCTCTACAGTTTCGCCCTCCGCTTCTGCGGGGGGGCGGACGGCGGCTTTCTACGAGAAAGCGAGATCTTCGTCAGGAGCTCAGGCCAAACAAGAGCTTTGGGATTGCAGTTCTGGGAGGTGCTCTCCCAAGACTTCAAGAAAGGCCAGGAGCAGATCCCTCATTTCCGGCATGCATTGCTGAAGCTGGCTTTGTCAGGGGGTGGGATCACCGCAAGCACAGCTCGGAAGATGTTCGCCCGAGACTGCGAGAAGAAGGTTCTGGAGGGGAACCAAGTGTTGTGCGAACTTCGGGAGCTCATGGTCAAGAAGGGTGTTGACGTCTTCAGGGATGTCAGCTTCGTGAACATCTTGGGAGTGGTGGACATGAATGTCGTGAGGCTCTGCCTTGGGCTTCCTCGTGCTGAGCAGGAGAAAAGCTATAGGGCCGTCCAAGGCATCGCACACGATGCTTGCCTGCTCTTGGGATTGGAGAGTCCGTGGGCGGCATTTGCTGAAGCAAATGCCGATGGCAAGTCATCGGCCCAGGGAGCAGCTGAGAGGATGAGGGAGCTGAACCCGGATGGGTCACTCCGCAATGCGGAGGACTTGCTGACTGATGCAGGCTTCGTGGTCGATGCCTTTGTTCGTCGCAAAGCGGACAAGTTGGAGTGCCGGATCAAGCACATCAAGGGCTCCCAACTTCAACTGCAGGATCTGCAGAAGAAAGGCTTCATGAAGGTTGCCAGCGATCAGTTCCTTGCTGGTGGGTGGATCTTGTTCACCCCAAAGAAGGAAGCAGAGGTTCTCGAGGATTTGTCCATGCTGGGCTTCTCCCAATCTCTGGAGTATCAGGCTGCTCTCATGGTCGCAGACATCCAAAAAGAGTTGGACATATTGGCACAGAAGCATGATGTTGATGGGGTGCTCGGCAAGCTCAGCTTGCAAATGAAGCCTCACAAGGCTTTGACAGTCAAGCAAAAGTTCACCAAAGGCCAACTGGTGCTTGTGCCAGTGAGCTGGAAGATCATTCACAGGCTGAAATCCCAAGGCTCTGTGGCGAATGCCGTGGAAGTGCAGACCCCATGGAAGCTCGACGATCGCCAATTCTGGCTCTCGTCATGTGTGCAGCTGCCAAAGGGCGACGAGGATATGGGGTCGGGCAAGTGCTGCATCTCACCGTTTTTCCTCGTCAACATGACGGACGATGCAGGATCCACCAACATGGAGCTGAGCTGGTCTGGCACGAAGACTAGCAACATCCGGGTGCCACTACTCCGAAACAACATCCTCCTATCGCCAGGCGATCATTTGTCCCAGTTCATGCCGAAGAAGGCCACTCGGGATGATCTTGAGATGCCAGCTGCACCCAAGAGATTGAGAACCAAGCAGTAGGCGCACAGAGCAGATGCATCCGATCTCGGCATCATGCCCGAGCCACCTAAAGCTAAATCTATATGTTTATCATAGATGTAGATCGGTATATACTTAAATGTACATATGTATATTTAAAGATGCATGTAGATGTGAAGTATACATGAAAAAGTGCTCGGCTGCCTTGAGGTGTGGCTTTCGTTACATGTCTGCATTTTGCCCAGCAGACATGGATCCATGCGATTTCGATCTCAGGGAAGACTTCCCTGCACAGAGGTTTGAGTGGTGTGCAGCATGAAATGTGCCTTCAGTGCTTTGCAATCTTTGTACGTGTCGCTTGCAGGGCTTTCAGCTCGCAGGCAGCTCTGCATGCATGTGCATGCAGGAGATGTGAAGGCATGCTGTTGTGCCCAGCTCGCTCTCAAGTGTTTCTAGAAGTCTCGCATCCTTTCACCCGTCCCATTGTCGAGCTCAGCATGGACGAGAATCGCATGGACGAGATTCGCATCACACAGAAGTATGTGGTTCAGCTTGGCAAGTCTGCTCCCTTCGTCCCGACTCAGAAGCTCGTGCAAGACGTTCCTTTCATTTGCCTGCAGAAGTGGGACCGAACCAGTGTCAGATTGCTTTCCGGAAAAGCATTAGATCTGAGAAAGCAGAAGAAGGACAGTGCAGGATCCTTGGCATGCTCAGCATGGGACGAGCTCGTGCAACTACGACAAGAACGTGCCAACATGCTGCTGCAGGATGCCCTGAAGGAGGAGTCGGAAAATCCCAAGCCCAAGAAGGAGAAGCCTGTTCGAGCACAGTCCAAGCATGCCGTCATGCTCCCTTTGTCGATGGAGGTGGAATTCCATGGCAAGTCCATTACCATGCTGTTGGAGGGGTTGGGGTCGTCTTCAGTTTGGGTGGAATTCACGGAGGACAACATTAAGTTCCTGCGGGAAAAGTGCAGCTCCAGCGAGTCCACTCCCAAGAAGAAGAGAAAGGTTGCCAAGAAGGGTAAGAAGAACGATGACAACCAGGAAGCCGCTGATAATGATGACGAGGACGGCGAGGGCGAGGAAGAGGATGAGTGAGTTTTTGTGGTGCCCAGTTCGATGGCCGGCTTGATTGGGTATAAAAAATTGAACAGAAGCAAAGAGAGAGAGATGGAGAGAGAGAGAGAGAGAGAGACAGACAGAGATTATATACATATATATATATATAATGTATTATATGGAGACATAAACATATATGTATGAGAGAGAAAGAAAGAGAAAAAGAGAGGCAGACCGAGTCAGTGAGTCGATGCCTCAGGTGCCAAACTGTTTGCATGCTGTGTTCCATGGTGTGCAGCTCTTCATGTCGTTGCTGATTTGCAGTTGAAACACTCGATCGTGGACCGATTCAGGCTCTTTTCTGGGTCGATGCATGCATGCATGCATGCCGCATGCAAACTTCAAACATCCTTTGATGCATGTGGCATGCAAACATCAGGTCGTGGGCCACAATGCAATGCACATATCAGGTCATGGGCCACATGTGCAGGCTGGCATGCACTGCATGCACTTTTTGAAGGGTTGAGGGCCTTGTGGGCTTTCCGGTGCAGCCATGGCTTGCTTTGCCATGCGATGGTGTGGCATGCCTCAGGTCGGGGTTTTTGGAGACTTTGCATAAATGGATCGTATATCTGTCTTGCCTAGGACGACGAGCACAAGATGGTGCAGACCGCCGGCATGGAGTTTCACGACCTGCTGCCGGTACGAGGACCCCTCAGATAAGTTTACTTCGCCCGGATCGTTCCCAAACACTCTGGCCAGGACAGAAGAAGTTCCGGTGGCAGGTCGATGTCCCCGGTGGGGGTCGGCTTCGCTGGACCAAAGGGGGCTTCCACATCGACATCATGAGTGACCCTCCACAGCTGTCGGTGTGGTGGAACGATTCCGACAGTGAATCGGTTCCAGTGAAAGGCGAGACTTTGAGTGCTTCTTTTCGGATTTACATCAACATGCATCCCCGTCAGGATGGATGTTCTGGGACAACAAGGCCTCCAAGTACAGAGAGAGCATGATCGTGATAGAGGCTTCCTTTGTTCGGATCCTGTTGTGTCTTTTTGCACACATATTATATGAAGTCGCTTCGTGTAGGAGCTGACCGCCTCTGAAGGGAACTTGGAGGCGGGTTATACTTGACTTGAGTTTTGCTGCAACTATATAGGTGTGCTTGTTCCTTGGCAGGATGCGTCACCAGGACCCATGCAGGCAGCCGGGGTCTTTGCTCCGGAACTTTTGCTTGGCTCGTTCGGTTGCATGCTGGAGGGAAAAGCCACCGATGAGGTCCAGGATGTGTGCACCTCAGCTATAC